AGCATGTATGAGTGCCGCCCACTGGCGCTTGCCATTGTTAGCGAAGGTGCCCCAGGTTGTCCGCGATCAAGTGTAGTGCGACTTGCTTCACCGACGTGAGAGTCTTATGAGCAGGGCGTGTGCAGATACGCGCGGAATCAATTTCATCGTCATGTAATGCACGTGCACTAGCCTACATCTTCTGTACCTTTCACAAACCAAATGGGTTTGCTCATTGCCGTGCACCCTACTTCTCGTAAACGCGTTCTCTGCGCCGGTCCAACTTATCCTTGTTTGCCAGTAGCATATGTTTATGACGGGTGCCACTAGTGGGGCAGGATACGCTCACCTTTTCGTCTGGTATCATCACTATTTCATAGAGATTCAAAAACACATGCTCTGTCATTGTATCGCATTGTGACTATCGCTGGGTTGTCTGGTCCTGACTCGATTTGTTTACAAACGAACATCTTACAGCTGTAATACTGCTGACACAAATATATTCTAAGATATTGTTACAATCGTACAATCAGCACTGCTTTTAGCAGAGATTTCCTGAGGATGTGGAATGGGTTTTCTCGCTTCTGTTTGAACAGAATAGAACTATTTATACAGAACTGAAGCCAACAGGACTTAGTAAAAGCGTCAATTGTGTTCAACAGCAGGTTTATCTTCATCAGTGCACGATAAATGAACAAAGCTATATTTTCCATTTATAAACGGCTAACAGTTGACAATAGCTGGTCAAATTTCTGTTTTGAAGGTTGTTTTGTAACTACATGTATATCATATACGGTATATATTTGCTTCTAAGGTTACAATAACTATCACAAATTAGTAGAACATGGATGGTGTTCGTCTAAAATCGTATGCACTTCACAATATGTGTATATTGTAGGTGTGTTCCCGTATATTTTCAAGGTTCATAAAATCATAGTAAAGTGATTTAGAAAATCTACGATCATGTTTACCACCAAGATGATGATTTCCAGGTGGAATCTACTATGACTCCACTCGTGTTCTGACATGACTTCTGAACTGTGTCATGACTCTTGTATTCTGCCATGTCCCCATGTCCTGACCCCTGTAGCCTATCATGACATCTGTACTTGATTGTGACCCCTGAAGACTATCATGACATCTGTACTTGATTGTGACCCCTGAAGACTATCATGACATCTGTACTTGATTGTGACCCCTGAAGACTATCATGACATCTGTACTTGATTGTGACCCCTTAAGACTATCATGACATCTGTATGACCCCTGAAGACTATCATGACTCCGGTAGCTGCAGGAGACTCTACCCTCATTCAACCGAGAAACGTCGCGATCTTAGCCTTCCCGGCCATGAACCGTCATTATAGGCGACAGGAGTATTCCTGTACCCGATCTTGACTTCTGTAGCCTATATGACTGACTGACTGACTGACTGACTGAGTTTGGTTTTTCGCGGCTTTTAGCAATATTCCAGCAACATCACGGCGGGGAACACCAGAAATGGCTTTCACACATTGTACCCATGTGGGGATTCGAATATGACTCCTGAACTGATCTCATGATGAGATTAATCAGCAAGACAGTGGGAAGTCCCGTCCCTTCATTTCAATTTATGAAAAGTAAAAAATGTAATTTTTATGATAAACTGATATTTTATACTTATCCTGGCTCATGCTATATGCTCAAATAATGAGTCAGGATAAGGAAAAATATATAATTTTTATGATAAAACGGATATTTTATACTTATCCTGACTCATGCTATATGCTCAAATCATGAGTCAGGATAAGGAAAAATATATAATTTTATGATAAAACTGATATTTTATATATCCTTCATATATGTTCAAATCATACTGATATTTTATACTCATCCTGACTCATGATTTGAGCATACAGCATGAGTCAGGATAAGGAAAAATTAATAACAAACTTGCATCAGTCCACACCCTCGTTTCAACAACTTGAAATCCAATGTTGGGCAGTGTATGCTGATCTTGCACATACCCTCCACCTTTCCAGTCTCACAACATGTTGTATTTGGGATTGCAGTGTCTCAGTGAAGTACAGGGAAACATTGTTGAGTTCCATCCAGAATTCAAACCACACACTGTGTGTGTGCTGACAATGAGGTGCCTCACTCTGAGAATGTGGGTTCGAATCCTGGATGGCACTGAACCCTCAGCGGTACTGACATCACTCTCCTACCCAGATTTCCGTGCGGCAAGCCAGCATAGTACCTCTGCCACAGGCCAGAGAAATGTGACGATTCGTCACATCTAATGGCCATTCAATATAATGTACAGATTTCTTAGCTCTTATTTTTGACAAGTCTACACATCTAAGTAATCATCTTTAAAAGAATGGTTTGGTTTCACTGAGAAAATATCCAAAAACGTGTAACATTATTTTGATTTGCGTAGCGATCCTTTGTTTACATAGGTTGTACGGATCTACGTCCTGTCATTGAAGTTGATGGAGAGCAAACGATGCAGCCAGTTTGATATCTAAATATCCACTGTCATAGACATTACTGTTGCAGTTGTGGAAGAATATATATGTAACAATATAAGACGTTATGAAGAGAGCGCCGAAAAGCTTACTTGGGTCCAGTCTCTTCTTATTATGAATATGTGCGTTTGATTACAAACAAGAGAAAAGTTCGGTCACGTGATATGCAAATTAGCCTGCGGCAGTGATGTTATGTTAGTCATCGCTGTGCCGGAGAATGTACTGACATCTGTACTTGACCCAGAAAGTGTAAAACACAATATACCATGTTGCATCTGACCACTGTGTCACTGTGTAAACTTTCCTACCTCAGCAGGTTGTGTCATGTGCAAGACAATGAAGATTTGGGAATATAAAACTTCAGGAAGAAATAAGAAAAGGCTTTATTTCAATTCATGATTCCTGTCCAAACAATATATACAGATCCTATTTACATGTATGCATAACAAGATGGAAGCACCAAACCGTGAAATATACATTTGTGTATAGTTATCACATCTCGATATGACCATTAAGCCCCAGGGTTTTACTACTGGAGAAATATGTACATAGCTATAACATTTGTGTGCAAAGAATGTGATCAAAAGTGTTCTGTTTCAGAACAAAGTTGGTTTGTTGTTTAAAGTGGCACTCAGCAATATTCCAGCTATATGGCGGCGGTCTGTAAACAATCAAGTCTGGACCAGACAATGCAGTGATCAACAGCATGAGCATCAATCTGTGCAATTTGGAACCGATGGCATGTGTCAACCAAGTCAGCGAGCCTGACCACCCAAGAAACCTGAAGTGATGAAGGCTTTTACCCCAAGCAGGAACAGGGTGTTTTTAAACCAAGAAACATCATCAAGGAGAACGAAGATTCAGTCTAACAATCATAGGTTCCAGGTGTGCCAAGATAACTCAACTCGGCACAATGCAGCATTTAAACAACTGGCCAGTGGGGTGGTCTACTGGTTAAAGCTTTCGCTCATCACGCCAGAGACCGATTCCATTTTTCACAATAGCTCAATTCCCTATGTGGGTACAATGTGTCATTTCAAGCAGGGAATAAACAAGAACCACATTTTAACATCTTTTGGTTTGATGCAGAGAAACACGTTAACAAACATCTTTTACCATCTTTCAGGATGATTAGGCAGAGACACAATTACAACAATAACATTTACAACATATTTTGGTATAGACAAAGAGACACTGTATTACATGGCAGAGAACACTGTATTACATGGCAGAGAGACACTGTATGTGACTATGTGTCAAGGCATATATGAGGAACAATAACAAAGTCTTCCGACAAATGTGTAACATTTCTCAATGAACAATGAGCACAAAACAAGAACATAGTTGCCTGACACTTGTAAATATCATATAACTGTAAATATGTGACCTTAAATGCATAACAGTTATGTATCGTGGACAATCATTTCAAAAATATACATCTTGACAGGAGTTTAACACCAAGATACACTGTTTGTCCTCAGAGCAACTCACTGTCACATTCAACACTTATGATATCAAATAAACTCAACCAGGGAAAATATCAACATCACATCCATGTCATCGTAATATACAAAATATACGGAAAAGCACCGACATCACCTGGTATTGTGTGTGGTCCTGTGCATAGAGCTCAGGTCACAAATCAGTTAAAGTTAAGCAACGCTGTGTGCAGAGAGTCCTTGGATGGGTGACCGTGTTTGGCAGCTTGACTTCAGTCCTGCCCCACAAAAAAGCACATGTGATACATGTGGTCTCACCTTAGGCAAGTAAGTTTGTTCAAAATTGCCTGTGTTCAAAAGAAAATGGGTACCCGGTGGGATAAGTCACATGACCATAACCTTCTAGTGCCTCGCAGACAGCTTGAGTTATCCGGGGTAATAATAGTGTAAATATTCTGTAGCACTTTGAGCATGCCTTAGGGTGTGGCATAGGTGCATTATAAATATGCATTTATTATTACTGGGATTGTACGTTTCTGCCACAGAGACCAGACATAAATCACAGACCAACATGACAGACCAGGGGCCTGTTCCACAAAAAGATCTTAGCTCTACGATGGTCCTAGGTCAATGTTAATGCATGTGAGTATAGTTCACCTTAGTGATACGATCGTTTTTCAGGGACGGGGCCCAGGATGTTATCTGTGTGAGTTCAGTTAGTCAGGTTACAAACATGTAAACTTATATCTAATCAAAACTCATTACAGATTGATAGTGGTTTCTACGAGTATTGCATGTAGATCACTGTGACAACCATTCCTGGGACTTCTGTGTTGTGACCACCTTGACAACCCATTCCTTGGAACTGAGCATATAGATCGCCATAACAACCATTCCTGGAACTCTTCAGTTAAGACATGGCAGTCTTTCTGATGAAGACTATGATGCTGGCAAGTGTAACAACTTTGAAAGGATTTAAGTCGCATCAAAGCTTGATATCTCGGCTCTCTGATCCCTGGACTAGAGCGACCACATCCTGTGAGACAGCTGGCTCCACATCAGATTCTGGTCATTACATTTGCTCTGCAGCTGCTCCCTGCAATAAAACATGGGGTGGTTGAGAAAATGTCAGGCTTAACTCTAGACAGTGCTTTGTCCATCACTGCTTTCATGCCTTTCTGCGCAAACAACCTATGCGACATGTGTCAACCATCTCAGTGAACCTGACCCACCGATCCAATTAGTCACCTCTTACGACAAGCATGGGTTGCTAAAGAACAAGTCTAACCCAGATAAGTTTTAAAGCACAAATACTATAGTGATTGGTACATCCCCTATCACATACTATGAGGGGAGGTGAAATGGAGGTTAACATTGATTTCAAAATTAGTGTACTTATATTTATATATCCACGTGCATGCATGTGCAAATTCCTGTATGTGTGTGCATGTGGCTGCTTCTACTAGCCCTACGCAGCTCTCACACTGCTAACCCATGGAGATACCCTGTCACAGTCGAACAAAGATGCCCTAAGAGTGTATGTCCCCTTATATACTGAATGCAGGGAAGGTAACAGTGAGTGAGTGAGTGAGTATGGTTTTATGCTGCGTTTAGCAATATTCAAGCTATATCACAGCAGGGGAACACCAGAAATGGGCTTCACACATTGTACCCATGTGGGGAATCAAACCTGGGCCTTCGGCGTGACGAGCCAACACTTTAGCCACTAGGCTACCCCACCGCCCCACAGGAAGGTAATCAGGACAGCAACCATTTCACACCGTTTGGTATGAGGTGACTGGGAATAAAACTCTCAACCTTCTGTTCTCAAGGCGGACATACCATCCACTTGACCATGAGTCAGTCACATCTTACACGGAGGAGTGAGGACATGGCCCCAAGATGATGGGAGTTGTCCGCCTACCTGTCGCGTGCCCCAGTCGAGATAGTCAAGTCTTGTGGCAGCCTGGTACTCATCAACCAGCTCCTGAAGAACTTCTCGAGAGTTATCAAACTCGTCAAGTTGTCCTTGAATATCGGCTCCTTCTTATACTGTTCCATGAAAGCCTCCCTCTTCCTCAGTTTGTCAAACTGGCGGAGGGTTCGATCAAACAACTGCAAGAGCAAATCAACAAAATTTTAACCTATCATGTATTTATTAGCATTGTGTTTAATGTTTACATTTCATCTCACTTAACCTGTTTCTTGTATTGAAGACTGTGCAGCCTTACCTTGAGAAAGTAATAAAAACCTAAATCAAGAAAACATTATGTCCACTTAAATCCACCACTTATCATTTATTATCACTCCTTAGGGAATAAAACTGACGGTTGCAAAAGCCAACCATTTCTTTTCATTCTTATATTTTGAGTTAAATGTAAGTATTTCACTACATCCCCTAAATATTAATCAAATGGACATCAATGAGGCATCAAGAAGACGCACCATTTTGTGGGTTTAACAACATCCATGTTGAACCACTTATCTGGGACAACACCAATATTAAAAGACAACTTGCGAGCAGCTGATATTGGGTGAGTGATTCATGCAAACTAACAAGATTTTGGAAGAATAGAACAAATTTTTTCACCAATCTAGGACTAAAGAACTAGTGGCCATGACTATCCCTTTCTGACTGTCAATGTGTGACCATTGTTGCACACAAGGGGTCCATGTAGTGATTGACTTACATGAGAGATGCTTGTGTGGTTGGCCATCATGAGGCCGCTGACACGATGTGCAGTCTGGATGTAGGGAGACTTCACTGATTAAGGTTTATGTGCACGACAGCGCACACACCTGGATACTGGCCGGACCCCAGGGGATAAACTGGGCCAGCTTCCGTTCTCGGATCCTCTGGAGACTCTTGTGTACCTGCACAGATCAGACATGACAGTGTGAGAGAGGAAATGCATCAATATTGTCAATAAATTGAAAGAACTAAGAACAATATGTGCCTCACCTGTGCAGGGTCCACCTGCTTGTATGTGACTCACCTCTGTATTGTCCACCTATCTCTGTAGGCGTATCACCTGTGTGGGGTCCACCTGTATGTGATCACGTGTGTAGGGTCTACATGTATGAGTCTTACCTGTGTGCAGTCCACCTGTATGTGTCCACCTGTATAGATATGTATGATCTGTGTGTAGGGTCCACCTGTATGAATCTCAAATCTGTGTAGGGTCCACCTGTATGTGATGTGACTCACCTGTGTAGGTATGAAGACATCTATATGAATCTCAAATGTGTAGGGTCCACCTGTATGTGACTCACCTGTGTGTATGAATCTCACCTGTGTGTAGGGTTCTTCCATGTGCCTCACCTGTGTGCAAGGTCCACCTGCATGTGACTCTCTCACCTGTGTTGGGTCTGGGTCTACATGTATGAATCTCACCTGTGTTGGGTCTACATGTATGAATCTCATCTGTGCAGAGTCCACTTGTATGTGACTTACCTGTGTGGGGTCCACCCGTATGATTTTCACCTGTGTGGGGTTCACCTGTATGTGACTCACCTGTGTTGGGTCCACCTCCCCCTGTATGATGTTGAGGATGGAGATGTAGCAGTGACTGGCCTGGCGATGTGCTCCCACCGGCGTCGACACCATCATGTTCTTGGGCTGCAGCAACCGTCTCATCACATCCAACACCGTGGTCTTCCTCACATTTGCCACCTGAACCACAGTCAGCAGACAGTCAGGAATGTATTCACATCACAGAAATTTATTAAAAATATGGCAAAATTATCTGTACACATCTGGAAGATTATCTTTAAGCAACATTTTAAAGCCTGAAGTAACAGTGAAGTAGAATTTCAACCTTTTTACAGTACCCCTGAACTGGTTAACACCGAGAGGAGGGAGGGTCTCACCTATTAGTTGGTTGTGAGGGGCGTGTACCCAGTCATCAGGAAGTGGAGTCTGGGGGTGGGGATGAGAGGGGAGGGTCTCACCTATTAGTTGGTTGTGAGTGAGTGAGTGAGTGAGTATGGTTTTACGCTGTGAGTCAGTTGTGAGGGGTGTACTCAGTCATCAGACAGTGGAGTCTGGGGAGTGAGGGATGAGAGGAGAGAGACTCACCTGTGAGTGGGTTTGAGGGGCGTTGTAAACAGTCATCAGGAAGTGGAGTCTGGGGGTGAGGATAAGAGGGGAGAGACTCACCTGTGAGTCAGTTGTGAGGGGCGTGTACCCAGTCATCAGGAAGTGGAGTCTGGGTGTGGGGATGAGAGGGGAGAGACTCACCTGTGAGTCGGTTGTGGAAGTGTACCCAGTCATCAGGAAGTGGAGTCTGGGTGTGGGGATGAGAGGGGAGAGACTCACCTGTGAGTCGGTTGTGAGGGCGTGTACCCAGTCATCAGGAAGTGGAGTCTGGGTCTGGGATGAGAGGGAGAGACTCACCTGTGAGTCGGTTGTGAGGGGTGTGTACCCAGTCATCAGGAAGTGGAGTCTGGGAGTGGGGATGAGAGGGGAGAGACTCACCTGTGAGTCGGTTGTGAGGGGCGTGTACCCAGTCATCAGGAAGTGGAGTCTGGGGGTGGGGATGAGAGGGGAGAGACTCACCTGTGAGTCGGTTGTGAGGGGCGTGTACCCAGTCATCAGGAAGTGGAGTCTGGGAGTGGGGATGAGAGGGGAGACTCAGGACCTGGGAGTGGTGATGAGTCTGTGAGTGGGTTGTGAGGGTGTACCCAGAGATCAGGAAGTGGAGTCTGGGGGTGGGGATGAGAGGGAGAGACTCACCTGTGAGTCAGTAGTGAGGGGTGGGTACCCAGACATCAGGAAGTGGAGTCTGGGAGTGGGGATGAGAGGGGAGAGACTCACCTGTGAGTCGGTTGTGAGGGGCGTGTATCCAGTCATCAGGAAGTGGAGTCTGGGTGTGGGGATAAGAGGGGGAGACTCACCTGTGAGTCGGTTGTTGTGGCGTGTACCCAGTCATCAGGAAGTGGAGTCTGGGTGTGGGGATGAGAGGGAGAGACTCACCTGTGAGTCGGTTGTGAGGGGCGTGTACCCAGTCATCAGGAAGTGGAGTCTGGGAGTGGGGATGAGAGGGGAGAGACTCACCTGTGAGTCGGTTGTGAGGGCGGTACCCAGTCATCAGGAAGTGGAGTCTGGGGTGGGGATGAGGGGGAGAGAGACTCACCTGTGAGTCGGTTGTGAGGAGCGGTACCCAGTCATCAGGAAGTGGAGTCTGGGGAGTGGGGATGAGAGGGGAGAGACTAACCTGTGAGTCGGTTGTGAGGGGCGTGTACCCAGAGATCAGGAAGTGGAGTCTGGGGGTGGGGATGAGAGGGGAGAGACTCACCTGTGAGTCAGTAGTGAGGGGTGGTACCCAGACATCAGGAAGTGGAGTCTGGGGGTGGGGATGAGAGGGGAGAGACTCACCTGTGAGTCGGTTGTGAGGGGCGTGTACCCAGTCATCAGGAAGTGGAGTCTGGGAGTGGGGATAAGAGGGGAGAGACTCACCTGTGAGTCGGTTGTGAGGGGCGTGTACCCAGTCATCAGGAAGTGGAGTCTGGGGGTGGGGATGAGAGGGGAGAGACTCACCTGTGAGTCGGTTGTGAGGGGCATGTACACAGTCATCAGGAAGTGGAGTCTGGGGGTGGGGATGAGAGGGGATAGACTCACCTGTGAGTCAGTTGTGAGGAGTGTGTACCTAGTCATCAGGAAGTGGAGTCTGGGTGTGGGGATGAGAGGGGAGAGACTCACCTGTGAGTCGGTTGTGAGGGGCGTGTACCCAGTCATCAGGAAGTGGAGTCTGGGTGTGGGGATGAGAGAAGCTATCAGGCCAATTAGATCATTGTTCATGTAACCAGGGTAACGCAGTGTGGCTGTACTTGTTGACATCACAGTTGATACCTGTTATAAATGAGATCATTACAAGAACTGATTTCAGTGGAAAAACGATGAATAATGTTTCTCAACCATCATCCAAATGATAAGAAATGACCTCTAATGAAATCAAGAAATGTTTATTGATACAAAGACAGACCACCCGAGAGTCCGACCAGGGGCTAGATTTCTGACGGATGGTCAAAATCTACAGCAAGCCAGCCCGATGGTCTGGTAAAATTTTTAGATGTCCCATTAAATTCACCATATCTTGGTGCCTGGTCTGGTTAAAGTCCATTTGGGCTGGTCACATTTTGAAGCCAAGGGTTTCTGACTTATTTCATACACTGACATAGATAATACCTTCAACATAAAGAACACTCTATGATTTCTTTGAGTGGCATTTTCAGAAGTTGGAGAGTCAGGTAAGGACAAACTTTATGGACGAACAACTTCTTTATTCAGGTGATGTGATGTTTTCATTGTCAAGCAGGTATTTGTTAAGCACATACCTGCTTGACAACGATACAAGAATCTGTATTGAAACGTTGCATCACCTGAATAAAAAAGTTCTTCATCCATAGGTGAGGTGAGGTGAAACTGGATTTAACGTCGTGCTTGAGAATATTTCGCTCATATGACGACTTGCATGCGTGTGTATGTGCGGCTGCTTGTACTAGCCCAGACTGAAACTGGTTTTATAGTGCTAGCCCACTGAGATACCATGCCACATTGAAGCATGAATACCCCACTCAGACACATTATACTGACTCCGAGCCGACCAGTCCTTGTTGTACCCATTAATGCCGAGCGCCAGGCAGGGACCAACAAGTACCATATTTTAACGTCTTTTGGTATGACGCGGTCGGGGATCGAACACGCGACCTTCCGCTCTCCGGGGCAGACGCTCTAACCACTACACCACGGAGGCGGTCTCTTCATCCATAGGGTTTGTCCTTATCTCAGTGACTGCATGCCTGATTTTCTGAATATGTTTTGTTTCTTAGGTGATCCACAAATGACTAAATGCCAAAACTCATGTCTTGTTTGTTGGTGTTCCAAATTTTGTTCTCTTCTTGTAACAACTTCTCGTTAGGACAATACTATTTAAAGCCAGACACTGAATATCTTGAAAATAAAAAAGCAGGTTATACAAATGCATCCCATCTCCTCACCAGCTGGTTGATCTGTGCCAGGGAGGGAGTGTCTATGTGAAGCCTGTCAGCAGCGATACGGTTGAGAGCCGTGTTGTCCAGCACCACCTGGTGGCAAACAAGAAACACTTATAAAGAAACAAAACAAACAAATGTTGCACATTGTACTGATTGGAACTGTTTGCACAATTTCACGAACAGGCCACAAGTAAGCAGTACATGTGAAATGATAATTAAATATTACAAAGTACAGGCGACAAAATATTTGACTCTTTAACAATTCAAACGAGAGTGAGTGAGTGAGTGAGTGAGTGAGTGAGTGAGTGAGTGAGTGAGTGAGTGAGTGAGTGAGTGAGTGAGTGAGTGAGTGAGTGAGTGAGTGAGTGAGTGAGTGAGTGAGTGAGTGAGTGAGTGAGTGAGTGAGTGAGTGAGTGAGCATGGTTTTATCCCACTTTTAGCAATATTCCATCAATATCACAGCAGGGGACACCAGAAATGTGCTTAACACATTGTATCCGTGTGGGGAATCAAACCCGGGTCTTCAATGTGACAAGCCAACGTTTTAACCTCTCGGCTACCCCACAGCCCCTTGACCACAAAAAACCACGTACAGTATTCTCCTACACTTGGGGCACACTCTACCATGGAATCACCATGTTACTCAGTGTCAGTAAGCAGGCTGTGGTTCCTAGGACCCAGACTAAGACACCCAGTCTGCATAGCCAAGCACTAGTAGAGAGCGTACCATGTAGTCTGCATTCTGTATAACCTCTGGTTACTAAGACACCCAGTCTGTATAGCCAAGCACTAGTAGTGAGCGTACCATAGTCTGCATTCTGTATAACCTCTGATTACTAAGACACCCAGTCTGTATAGCCAAGCACTAGTAGTATAGCCAAGTACCAGTAGTAAGCGTAGTCTGCATTCTGTATAACCTCTGGTTACTAAGACACCCAGTCTGTATAGCCAAGCACTAGTAGTGAGCGTACCACGCAGTCTGCATTCTGTATAACCTCTGATTACTAAGACACCCAGTCTGTATAGCCAAGCACTAGTAGTGAGCGTACCACGCAGTCTGCATTCTGTATAACCTCTGGTTACTAAGACACCCAGTCTGTATAGCCAAGCACTAGTAGTGAGTGCATTCACGCAGTCTGCATTCTGTATAACCTCTGATTACTCAGACACCCAGTCTGTATAGCCAAGCACTAGTAGTGGCACCACCCGCAGTCTGCATTCTGTATAACCTCTGGTTACTAAGACACCCAGTCTGTATAGCCAAACACTAGTAGTAGAGCGTGCCGTGTCCACGCAGTCTGCATTCTGTATAACCTCTGGTTACTAAAACACCCAGTCTGTATAGTCAAGCACTGGTAGTGAGCGTACCATGCAGTCTGCATTCTATATAACCTCTGGTTACTAAGACACCCAGTCTGTATAGCCAAGCACTAGTAGTGAGCGTACCACACAGTCTGCATTCTGTATAACCTCTGGTTACTAAGACACCCAGTCTGTATAGCCAAGCACTAGTAGTGAGCGTACCACACAGTCTGCATTCTGTATAACCTCTGGTTACTAAAACACCCAGTCTGCATAGCCAAGCACTAATAGTGAGCGTACCATGCAGTCTGCATTCTATATAACCTCTGGTTACTAAGACACCCAGTCTGTATAGCCAAGCACTAGTAGTGGCGCACCATGCAGTCTGCATTCTGCATAACCTCTGGTTACTAAGACACCCAGTCTGTATAGCCAAGCACTAGTAGTGAGCGTACCACACAGTCTGCATTCTGTATAACCTCTGGTTACTAAGACACCCAGTCTGTATAGCCAAGCACTAGTAGTGAGCGTACCACACACAGTCTGCATTCTGTATAACCTCTGGTTACTAAGACACCCAGTCTGTATAGCCAAGCACTAGTAGTGGCGTACCACACAGTCTGCATTCTGTATAACCTCTGGTTACTAAAACACCCAGTCTGTATAGCCAAGCACTAAGCACTAGTAGTTCTGTATAACCTCTACCATGCAGTCTGCATTCTATATAACCTCTGGTTACTAAGACACCCAGTCTGTATAGCCAAGCACTAGTAGTGAGCGTACCACACAGTCTGCATTCTGTATAACCTCTGGTTACTAAGACACCCAGTCTGTATAGCCAAGCACTAGTAGTGAGCGTACCACGCAGTCTGCATTCTGTATAACCTCTGGTTACTAAGACACCCAGTCTGTATAGCCAAGCACTAGTAGTGAGCGTACCATGCAGTCTGCATTCTGTATAACCTCTGGTTACTAAGACACCCAGTCTGTATAGCCAAGCACTAGTAGTGAGCGTACCACCCGCAGAGAGTCTGCATTCTGTATAACCTCTGGTTACTAAGACACCCAGTCTGTATAGCCAAGCACTAGTAGTGAGCGTACCACGCAGTCTGCATTCTGTATAACCTCTGGTTACTAAGACACCCAGTCTGTATAGCCAAGCACTAGTAGTGAGCATACCACGCAGTCTGCATTCTGTATAACCTCTGGTTACTAAGACACCCAGTCTGTATAGCCAAGCACTAGTAGTGAGCGTACCACGCAGTCTGCATTCTGTATAACCTCTGGTTACTAAGACACCCAGTCTGTATAGCCAAGCACTAGTAGTGAGCGTACCACGCAGTCTGCATTCTGTATAACCTCTGGTTACTAAGACACCCAGTCTGTATAGCCAAGCACTAGTAGTGAACGTAACACACAGTCTGCTTTCTGTATAACCTCTGGTTACTAAGACACCCAGTCTGTATAGCCAAGCACTAGTAGAGAGCGTAACACACAGTCTGCTTTCTGCATAACCTCTGGTTACTAAGACACCCAGTCTGTATAGCCAAGCACTAGTAGTGAGCGTACCCGCATGCAGTCTGCATTCTGTATAACCTCTGGTTACTAAGACACCCAGTCTGTATAGCCAAGCACTAGTAGTGAGCGTACCACGCAGTCTGCATTCTGTATAACCTCTGGTTACTAAGACACCCAGACTGTATATAGCCAAGCACGAGTGAGCGTACCACACAGTCTGCATTCTGTATCAGCCTCTTGAGCGTCAGTATGGAGTTGTATGGCTGAACCACAACATCAGAGATCTCGTCCACGTTCGGGAACACTGAGTACGTCTGGATAAGCTTCTTTGGAAATCTGAAAGGAAATCTTTCATTTTTCATTTTTTTTAACACTATGATTCAACTTCTAACATCAGTTTATGTCAAATGAACAATTTAATACTAAAAAATATTAAGGACAAATTCTTCTGTATTACCAAAGTTAATTGGCTAATAAATAATGCAACAGAGCCATCTAGTCCTCCCCAACCTTTATTATAATAATAACAAAAAGACACGGTCATCAATATCCCTTGCCAGTGTTCTCTGTAAATTAGGTGTGGGTATTGCATAGAATTTTCATATTGCGATATATTGCGATGCGAAAGCATGTATTGTGATAGGATTTGCAATAATATTGCATGAAGTATTTGTAAAAAAAAACTCAGGTAAAGGGCTCGGTCAAAAGCTGTGTTCTTAGCATTCACTTGAACTAGCCTAGTTCACTTATGTCCGGGATGTTGTTTGGAAGATTGTTCCACAACATAGCCCTGCTTTGGAAAATGATTCGTCACAGTAGTTCTTTCTGTGTTTGTGGGGTAGTTGGTTAGGCTTTCATGTTCGAATTTACAATTTGTGTTTCTGGTGTGTGTTGCTGGAATATTGCTTAAAGCGGTAAAAACCAAATCTCCAACATTCATGATGTTCTTATTCTGAGTTTGTCTGGAGTTGTCTTTGTTTGTTTGTTGTTTAACTCCGCAGTCAGCAGTATTCCAGCTCAATGGTGGCGGTCTGTAAATAATCAGATCTGAAAAAGGCAATCCAGTGATCAACATCAGGAGCATCAATCTATACAATGACCAGATCAGCAAGCCTGACCACCGAATCCCATTTGCTGAAGACCAGTTCTAACCCAGATCACCTGGAGTTATGATACCAGTTTTAAGTAGTCCATTAGTAAATGTGCTTCAAGACTAAAGGCAACCTGTCTTCCATTTTGCAACATGTATGCTTGACAAGTGAAGATGAAAATACAATTTAACATCTCTGTTCAATACTAAAGTGATTGGCAATGAACTGTTGGTTCTGAAGTGATATTTCTGTACACACCTGTCGTTAAGCCTCTCCAACAGGTAGGATCCCATTCCAGACCCTGTTCCTCCAGCAATGGAGTGACTCAGTACAAACCCCTGGAACAGACACACAACAGGTCATATAACATCATCTATCATGCAGAGGTGCCGCTTTAGTGAGTGAGTGAGTTTAGTTTTATGCGCTTTTAGCAATATTCCAGCATTATCACAGCAGGGGACACCAGAAATGGGGTTCACACATTGTACCCATGTGGGGAATCGAACCCAGGTCTTTGGCGTGACGAGCGGACACTATAACCACTAGGCTACCCCACCTCACACACCCTACTCGAGGGCTATGGAGTAATCACTTGGTAAAAAGAGTAAATTCATGTGCCAAAGAGTAACAAGAAAAGTACAATACTTTATGGATGACAACAACTATTATATTACGAGGAACACTTTTCATGGATAGACAACTTCTTCACTGCAACAGATCCGACGTTTCGGTGTAGATCCTAACACCGTTATCATGCAATGATACATTTGCTTGATAACAATAAAGAAGCTGTCTATCCATAAAACATTGTTCCTCCTTATCATACCAGCTTCTAAATGCCACTTAAAGAAACTATCATAATTTGAAGCGACATTTTGTTATAGTTTCTTATACCGTTGTCAAGCAAGAGTGAAGTACTACTGCACAGAACTGACTTGTATACATGTAACAGGGATTAAGTAAGACAACATGGGGGTATGCATCAAAGGGAATAACAACAGAAGATTAACATTAAGAGTATCATGGTGCAGATTTTCACTTCGACATTTTGGTTTGAAACTTGTCCACACATGCACTAAAGTTAGTAACAAAATTGATCAAAGCTCTGCACATTCAATAATTCATCATGAACTGAACTGGTAAAGACAATGGTATTTTCAGCACTGACGAAATATTGTACACACAGTTAGTTCCCTTCAAAATGTTCACGAGAATAATCTATTAACAATTTTCTCTTTGTTAGAAGTTAAGCACTTCCCATTCAGGATATTTTCTTAAATCGATAAATAATGTTCAAAATTTACAGTCTGCTCCAAATGGCAAGATTAAGTCTCACATTCAGTAATATTGATCTGTATTTAGAGAGAACTATCTTGATTTCCAGAACCAGTTAATACAGGAATCTTTTATGAAAGTGCATTTCTAAGATTAATTCATGAAGACTGGTAACGAAACATGTTTCATACCTCCAAACTGTCACTTCCATCAGCTTCTCTGTCTATGATGTCAAACACATCCTCATACAGTCCTTCAGCCTTAAAACAATCACAGACACTTAAAAAACATGCTATGCTGTATCTATGATTTGATTGATTGATAGATTGATTGCTGTTTGACGCCGCACTCAGCAATATTCCAGCTATATGGCACTGGTCTGTAAATAATCGAGACTGGACCAGACAATCCTGTGATCAACAGCATGAGCATCGATCTACACAATTGGGATATGGTGACATGTGTCTACCAAGTCAGCGAGCCTGGCCACCCACTCCCATAAGTCACCAAACGTTACTGAGGATCACTTCTAACCCAGATCTGCAAGGGTCTCATAAACATTAGGGTGCCTACGTATGTTGGCTATCGAAGTAGCTGTGCCACATTTTGTTTATGCCTGATCTGTGTCTGTGAGCTCCATTCACATGCACCAATTCTAACCCAGATCTTCAAGGGTCCGTATCAATGAAATGATGTGTGAGTGTGTGTGTCAACAACCTCAGTTAAAACCATTGAAAATTTTAGGAGTGAGTGAGCTTGTGTTTACAACCACTTTTGAAAATTTTAGGAGTGAGTGAGCTTGTGTTTACGCCACTTTTAGCAATATTCCAACAATACAACAGCGGGGGACACCAGAAATGGGCTTCACACATTGTACCCATGTGAGGAATCAAACCTGGGTCTTCAGCATGACGAGCAAACGCTTTAACCATTAGGCTACCCCACGCCCTTAAAATTATGGGAAGAAATATCAAATCGAATTTAAAGGGTACGGAGGTAGGGATAGCAAATCACATCCTTGTATTTGCAACACATAAACAAAATAAATCAGCAGAGGTGACTCTGTCTGAAGAGAATATATTTGGGCACCCTCTAAGTGAAAGGGTTTAATTTGGCCATTGCCATACAGGATTCCAGGGACAAGAAATAATTACAGTCGAGCACCGTTGTGTCGATATTCATGGGAAATATCGAGTTATCCGAACATTGAGACATCCGACCAGGGCATATCATCACCTACCGGTATATCATTATGAAAGGACACAAAACGCTTCTCAGTATGTTTGGATTCGAAACTATAATCCGTAATCAGTAGTGTTTATTCATAACAGTGAGTACTTCCTGATTAATTCCTTCTTAATTAATCCTAATTAAATAACAAACAAGTGACACCTTCAACTCAATTAGCCCTAATTAGTTTAGACAACCGCATCCCTTTGATTCATGCCGCATCGTGAGTAAACGTGTGGAAACAACCTCGGTTCAGAGGGATACTTGCCTATGATAGGTAGGTGAAAATCGAGTTTCTTTGCAAATATCGAGTTAAAAGGGTAATTTTGCTTGTTGGGACCATGAAATTATATCGAGATATCCGAAATATCGAGACATCCGTATCGAGTTAAAAGAGCTTGAATAATGATAAATTATGAAGGATTTTGCCGGGACCAAGATGTTATATCGAGACAACCGAGATATCGAGTTATCAGAGTTTGACACATCGATGCTCGACTGTATATTAATGCTTTATATGTGGACTGTTACTAGAAATGCTTACAAAAAGGAAGTTTACTAAGAGGATGTGTTTTCAAGGTTGAACTTACCTGTGTGTAGCCACTGGCCCAGTTGTTTCCCGCACCACCCCCGTGTTTTGACAGGTACACGTTCTCGGGGTTGTACAGCTTGGCGTATGGTGAGCTGAGGATTGAATTGATCACCCTGGGCTCAGTGTCCAGTAACACTGATCGTGGAATGTAGTGTTCGTCGTCAGCCTACACAGAAATGATGCTGGACTGTTACACATGTGGTCTCACCTGAGGCAAGTGAATTTGTTTAAAACTGCCTCTGTTCACCCAGCAGAAAATGGGTACCAGATGGGATAAGTCACGTGACAATTTACCTTCTAGCGTCTCACAGGGAGCTTGGTTTATCCGGGGTAACATGTCCATCATGTTGTATGTGCATGCCAGTGGGCCATGGAGCTCCGCACTATGTAAGTGGGCCATGGAGTTCCGCACTATGTAAGTGGGCCATGGAGTTCCGCACTATGTAAGTGGGCCATGGAGTTCCGCACTATGTAAGTGGGCCATGGAGTTCCGCACTATGTAAGTGGGCCATGGAGCTCCGCACTATGTAAGGGCCATGGAGTTCCGCACTATGTAAATTGGGCCATGGAGCTATGTAAGTGGGCCATGGAGCTCCGCGACTATGTAAGTGGGCCATGGAGTTCTATGTAATGTGTGGGCCATGGAGTTCCGCACTATGTAAGTGGGCCATGGAGCTCCGTGCACTATGTAAAGTGGGCCATGGAGCTTGGCACTATGTAAGTGGGCCATGGAGATCCGCACTATGTAAAATGTGGGCCATGGAGTTCCGCACTATGTAAGTGGGCCATGGAGTTCCGTATGTGTGGGCCATGGAGTTCCGCACTATGTAAGTGGGCCATGGAGCTCCGCACTATGTAAGTGGGCCATGGAGTTCCGCACTATGTAAGTGGGCCATGGAGTTCCGCACTATGTAAGTGGGCCATGGAGTTCCGCACTATGTAAGTGGGCCATGGAGTTCCGCACTATGTAAGTGGGCCATGGAGTTCCGCACTATGTAAATGGGCCTTGGAGTTCTGCACTATGTAAGTGGCCTCATCAATATTATTACACATATACCCATCAAGTGTTATTTTTTCTTGTTTTTCTATGTAAATGTAGCCAAATTGAACTAAACAAAGTGTACCTGATTTCAACATCCAAAGATGGCATTTGTCAATATCCAAAGTAAATGGCGTATTCAACTTTTTATTCAACATTTTACAGACCAAAGTACATGTATATCTAACATAAATTTACTCTATGCCGTTGAAACAAGTGGTGTCAACACTTAGATGTGTTTGCCATCAGGTAATGATCTAAATGGGTTGGTAGTCTGTAAATAATGACCAGACAATCCAGTGATCAAAATAAAGAGCATTGTTCTACATAGAGCTGTGACGATATATCGTAGTATCGATAATCGTGATACTTTATCTGACGATAAATATATCAATACTTTTTCCTTATCGTGATATGTATCGTTGACCTTAAAATTATTAATTTTCACCAGAAATTGGCGGTTATGTCAAAATTTACACTGTTAATTGCAATCAAAATATACATTTTGAAAGAAAATAACTAAAGATAGCATATCGTGATATGCATCGAATGGAATCGTATCGTTCCAAGATGTCGCAATACGTATCGTATCGTGATATCTCTGTATCGTCACACCTCTAGTTTTACACAATTGGGATATGATGACATGTATCAAACAAGCCAGCAAGCCTGACCACCTGATCCCGTTAGTCACCTCTTACGACAAGCATGGGTTACTGAAGGCCAATTATAACCCGGATCTTCACGGGTAGATCCAACTGGAGCGACACAATCCAGAGTGGTGTGGGTGCAGATATTGCCTTCAGTTCAATATCAGTCTAGCTGAAAACTAGCTGAAATTAAATATCATGTTTTGCCTTTTCTGATTTAAGGAAACAATTTATTAACCCTAAATACTATGTAAACCCTTTGCTTGAAATATTTGTACGCTTCTCGTCCATTAATAATAAAACTACTATTGTACATAAAGGCGAGAATTGATGGATGTTAACTTCATTATTTTGAGGAATACAACGTTTTCTGAGTGTAATCTTACCACTTCAACAGGTGAATGAACATACCAGGAAGCAGATAACTATTAATATAAGTGTGGGTGAAACAAGAACAGTTCAGCTTTATTTGTTCCGGACTCAGAAACAATGTTATCATCCTAAACAGTATTTCCTGTTAGTGTCATGCACAAAAGCATTCAAAATGGCCACACCCATGTTAAGCTGTGAGACTGAGAGTGGCACCAATAAACATTTTGATGGGGTGCCGAAATATATTATTTTATTTAGGATATTTATATAGCGCACATATCCAGGCAACTAGCAGTGCTTCAGCCAGAATTTTTTTGAGTGTTGCCAGTTGGCACCTTAACTACTAAAATGAGTGCCAATGCAGTTGAGACTTTTGCCATTCATGGTAACCATGGTATAGAAGACCTGTGGATTATATAAAATGTTGCGCCAATGGGCGCTCTAGCATTGAACACAAGTGCCATTGCATATTTTTTAGTGTGAATGGTGCAATGGCGCCTGCCTGGCTGAAGCACTGAACTAAAGTACTGTCAGAAATAGAACAAAAAACTGTTTTTAGGCTATTGCTCTGTATCACTAAAATTTACACAATTGCAAATAGCATATGTCGAAATAACCCACATCGGCCTACTGGGCGTTGAGTGGGATGCATGTTTACTCGTAAAATCGGGCAAAAATTAGAAAAAATACGAATACCTGCTGAAAACAATAGATCAGACTATAGATGGCAATTAGGTCGCTCAGCTAGGTATGACGACGGACCGTCGACTCACATGGCATGAAATGCACATGCTGCCCACAGGCACAAGGGGTCATCTCAAAGATATTTTATGTTTTTTCATGTGTATTATGTCTCTATTGATTATCTTATCTCAACTAATATCGCAGTTACCCAGCCCGACCCCAACCACCGTCTGCAACACCCGTCCTGGTTTTGCTTTTGAGACGGCACCTCCTACCTGTATCTTTTTATAGTGATAGTGAGACGCCAAGGTAGCTACATCCTTAATAGTTTCAGTATTAAAGTTATTATTTTTTAAGTCTGCTATCGTTTATAATGAAGCTAAATCTAATTTCAAAATGATCATTTAAAAAGTGTCCTTTGTAATACAATATCATCACACACTAATTTGCATAAAGCCATGGTCTGTTCTGAATAAGTTGCATTGGACTTAGAAAAAAAACGCATTGCTCATTTCTGCACTAATCTCTCCTCAGCAAAATCCTTCTTTTACGTTTCCTATCTCCCTCCCAATGAGACTGTCATCGAGCCGAACTTAGTTTAACAGATATTTTACACTTTCACATATTAACTACATACATTGTAGAGATAAATGTGAAAAAACAAAACAAATTCTATTTCCGACAGTACTTTAGTGCATGCTCAAGGCGCTGGTACTTTTTTCCCTCGATCATTGGATGTCAATGTTTATTCTCAACGGCACATTGTATTATCAATCTCAACTCCCTGGGGAGTATACAAACTCTTGCGAGCCAATAGGGGCACCTAATTATTGTGGCTTTCTCATCCTAACGAGGTACCCACTGGGGGGAAATAGATCTTGAATCATTTGAGCTGGTCAAATTTATCACATTTCAAATAAACTAAATCATGGTGCAGAGTATTATTGAAATAATTTTACTCAATATTTCAATATTTACCATGCCATGGCACACAGAATGAAGCACTGTTTCAATCCCTGTACTGTTAGGGCAAGAATCACAAAACTAACCCGTAATGTAATGAAATCTGCATAGAAAATGTTCCTGCTTGTATCACAGGAGACAGGGAGTTCCCTGTCTGGAAAATAACATTGATTCTACCTGGTAAAAGAACACATCCTTTCGGTCTGTTCCTTCCGTGGCATACTCCTCAAGAATACCCTCTGAAACATGCAGTATAAGTGAGTGAGTTCAGTTTTATGCTGGTTCTAGCAATATTCCAGCAATACTATGGGGAAGGACACCAGAAATGAGTTGGTAAATTTAGTTTTACGCCTCTTTTAGCAGTACTCCAGCAATATCATGGAAGGGGACACCAGAAATGGGGTTCACACATTGTACCCATATTGTTACCCCCGAGCAATATAAAAATGAGTGGGTGAGTGAGTTTAAATTTACGCCGCTTTTTGCAATATTTCAGCAATATCACGGCGGGAAACACCAGAAATGGGCTTCACACACTGTACCCATGTGGGGAATCGAACCCGGGCCTTCGGTGTGACGAGCGACCGCTTTACCCACTTGGCTACCCCAGCAATGTAAAAACATCACACGTTAATCATAATCATTGATAATATGCACCTAAAATGTTTGAATCTCCAAGACCAAACAATGATGCAAGCGTCTAAAATCACTGCGTATTTGAGATAATTTGTGCATCAAATACGCAGGTTTTCTGCGTCATGGCAAACACTGTTCTTATCTATTTATTTTGACAGTAATGAGCTCATTCGGTGTTGTCCTGATGAATTAACAGTTAACATGGACAGAACATGTCAGATAATCTATTTGGTTCTTGTCTCACAGAATATACTGAATGATACATCAACTGCTGACTTGCTATTGTGCTCTGTACCCAGTTTTCATATTCCTCACAGACTATTTGTGACATGCAGGGCTCAGATAATTTTTCAACATCACAGACTATTTGTCACATGCACTCCTTACTTGTTCAATACAGGAGTACTGGAAAACCTTAAGAGTACATTTAGAGTACTGAATGGAAATTAATGGAATATCAGTAATCTTGTGTTTCGTTTCATATATGCACCACAACATTGCTACTCTTGTGTAAACATGTCAATAAACAATAAAACAATACTTTTTCAGATAAATCGCCTGTAAATGATTCAAAGACCGCACATTATTGCCGTGGTGAGTATCTGCTACGTTTTTCTAAATTATTTCCCTACCGTATCGTGCATATTTTTTTATCCGTACATATGCTGATACGGCCCTTATCTGGAGCCCTGTGACATGTATCAAAGGATTTTACCTTGACTTACAAGAGAGTGTGTCAGTACATTCTACAGGTCCTTGCTGGTAATATAAGGGACCTGGGAAGTATTGACATGGTGTTGTGTAGTGTTGTGTATGTTCAGATAATTACTTCAGAGCCTGGAATGAATCAGTGATCATGTAGACAGTGGTCCTGACTAGTGGTGGTCCGATTAATTGAAATAATCGAAGATTGGTCGCAGTGACTAGGCGACCAAGCAATGCGATCATGTTTTCTCATAATCGAACACAAACAATTCTAGAACACTTTTGCATAAACAATATTTTTCACAAAGGTTGGTTTTGTAAGTTACATTTCATAACCACTACAAGCTTGTTCCAAGTCATGATTAAATTTATCTTAAAGACTCATTGAATATTATGTTCCTAACATACTAGTTAAGTAGTAATCCTTTCAAGATGTGAAATTTGCCACCAAAAAACCCCAAAAGAACTATATGTTTTTTCATTATGTTTTTTTTTCATTAACAAAAAACAAAAACTGGAAAATGTCATAAATGGCAGCTAACCAATTATTTTTGATGATTGATCGGTTGTAATGAAACAATCATCAATTATGAGGTTTTAACCAATTCCCAACACTAGTCCTGACTGATGGGTGAAATATCAGACACAGATAACTTCTCTTGATGAGCTGTACATATTTTTGTGCATCTCTGTGGGTGCTGTAGTTGGGGTTTTCTGCGTCCATTCTCTAATTTGAGCATAAAACCCTGTGTATCATATTCGCCTCATAGGGTATTTGTTGCGTCCCTTCTAAATACATTCAATGACCAGTCACTGAAGTTGAATGTTTAACAAACATCTGCTGTTTAACCAAACTTTCAGCAATATCTGTATGTTGTATATCAAAAACTACAAAACTAGAAATCCTGCTAACCATCAAAAGCTGCATTAAATCCACTATGAGGGGCATATGATACATATCACAAATATTGGGTCACAAATACAATTACAAACCAGCAGCCAATGTATTATTCAGCGATATAATATAAAAAGCATTGACAATTTTTTTACCATGTTGACATGTTAATTTATCATAACAATCACCAGTGACCAAATTATTGTCAAACATTTTACATATAAGAGTGTCGGCTAATATCCAGGGCCCCGTTTCACAAAGCTATCGTAGCGCTACGACTGTCGTACCTCCTATACTGTAACATAGACTTACGACAGTCAAATCGATGTTGTTGGATATCCTGCTTGATGAAACGCGGGCCCTGGCTGGTTTGATCCTCTTTTGATAAATACCACCCAAACTCAAGCAGTGAGTGAGTTAGTTTAGTTTTACACCACTGTTAGCAATATTCCAGCAATATCACGACAGGGGACACCAGAAATGGGCTTCACATATTGTACCCATGTGGGGAATCGAACCCGTGTCTTCGGGTTAACGAGCAAACGCTTTAAACGCTAGGCAACCCCACAGCCCCTCTATCAACAAGAAATAAAAATCATTCTCCTTTACCTGGACTTATCCCATGTTCTGCACACAGCTGCTTCCAAAACTCCAGCCCAACTGGAAAGACAGAAAAGCAAACATGACAACAATCTCAATGACTAAGAGGCAGGGATGGCTGATGAGATCAATAATTGGTAGGTCTGTAATGATGCATCAAACTATTGATGGATTGCAATTGTTGAACCTCCAATAGCAATTAATCGATGGTAGAAATGAAAAACTATCGATAGTATGTGTGAATATTGATAGTTTAGTAATTGACTTCCGTTGATAAATGCACAGCGCAATATACAGGAAGTACCAGATTCGTTCACTTTGATTTAGAGTTATCCATCCTGTTACTTCTTTAACAATCTTGATCTGGATTTCAAGTTTCTTCTCAGTTAGTAAAAGAGACAAACTATGTCAGCTTGTTTTTATTTCATATGAACTATACATTCATTTGGGAAATGATTTCAAATGAGACAATTCAAGTATTTTATTTCAATAGTTAGTCTAATACTATGAGTGAGTTCAGTTTGGCCGCGTTGAATATTCAAATGAGACAATGGGCTTCACACATTTCGAAAAAACCGGGTCTTCAGCATGATTGCTATTTAACCACTATACCCACACCCCTGGTCACAATAGACTAGTATGTCACAATAGACTATCGCTATTGCAATAGTTGTTTCCCCCTTAATAGTCGCCCCTAATAATTGGAAATATTGTAGCTGGAAACTATCATTAACGATAATACATTTTTATGAAATAAAGTTATAATTTAGACACACAATGCACAAACTTAAGTCTTTGAAATTATGTTCAGAATGCTGTTATCGTTAGCTACCCAAGCATAATGTTGCTTTCCTACGGACTTTTGGGAAATTTTGCTCAAAGTTACTTCTCCAATATATGTATTGATAATTGATCGATATTTAGTTCACGATTACTGATTCTCTGAGGCCACACCATGTTATCCTGTTCTTGATAATGAAATTGTAATTAGCTTCTTGTGACTTCAGACTCTTTGCTGAGCTAATTCCCCACAACCAGACCAGCACGCCAGTTAGAAAGGGGTTTCACCAGGAACCTCATTGGTACCACACATGGGAGGGACCATGATATTACACTCAGCCCAGACACTGGACACTTGCTGATACTGCTTTTATAAGAAGTGTAAGCATGATGCTGATAAATAAACATGGTTATGCATGGCTCGATTTAGTGCTTTGTTACTTGCACTGGTGCAACCAGATATTACAAAGTGCAACCTAGTTATTAGTCAAACTTGCACCAGGTGCAAGTCAATTTTTTTAGAAATAAATCAACAATAAATCTAACATTATAACTAATATAAGCATAAGTATGTCAGCTCATTTTTTCTTCTAAACTTCTCCTAAGCTATGGCCCCGAAACATTGCTATTTATAGACACATCTCAGCTACGGCAGCTCTTGTAAACAGGGATCAGCTGCGTCTCTGTGTTGCTATGGTTTCATGGGTGAGGTGAGGTGAAATTGGGTTTAACGTCGTGCTTGAGAATATTTCGCTCATATGACGACGTGCATGTGTGTGTATGTGTATGTGCGGCTGCTTGTACTAGCCCAGACTGAAGCTGGTTTTATAGTGCTAGCCCACTGAGATACCATGCCGCAGTGAAGCATGAATACCCCACTCAGACACATTATACTGACTCTGAGCCGACCAGTCCTTGTTGTACCCATTAATGCCGAGAGCGCCAGGCAGGGACCAACAAGTACCATATTTTAACGTCTTTTGGTATGACGCGGTCGGGGATCGAACCCGCAACCTTCCGCTCTCCGGGCGGACGCTCTAACCACTACACCACGGAGGCGGTCTTCATGGGTACTAAATTACAGAAATATGTTTTAAAAAAATATGTTAGTGTTGGGAATTGGTTAAAATCCCATAATTGGTAATTGGTTCATTGCAACCGATCAATCATCGAAAACAATTGGTTAGCGTCATTTATCAAAGTTTTCTGTTATGTTTGTTAATGCACACAAAAAAATAAAGACAAAACATGTAGTTCTTTCAATTTTTGCAAATTGCACACAATGCATTTGCAAATTTCATATCTTTAAAGGATGACCAGGGAGTCTTTAAATCATGACTTGGAACAAGCTTGTAGTGCTTATGAAATGGAACACTTGTTTTCATTAACAATATTTTTCACAAGGTGGTTTTGTCTGTTACATTTCATAAGCACTACAAGTTTGTTCCAAGTCATGATTGAACTTATCTTAAAGACTCCAAGAAATTTATGTTCCTAACATACTAGTCATCCTTTAAAGATGTGAAATTTTGCCAAAAAAACAAACAAAGAACTACATGGTTTTTTCCTTATTTTTTTTGTTCATGAACCAAAATAACCAGGAAAATTTCATAAATGACCCTAACCAATTATTTTCGATGATTGATCGGTTGTAATGAACCAATCATCAATTATGAGATTTTAACTAATTCCCAACACTACAATGTACATGTAAACAAGAGTCAAAGAAACTGAAAGGCTACATTGCCTTGTCATGAACCCCTGCAATCAGTCAACTGATAACTCTTGATCAGCTGGTATTTCAGATAAAAGATTTCAGCTCATGTGGGTACTGTACCCACTGTATTTCTTGTTGGTGGGTAAAATCAAATGTTGAGTGGGTATTTCATTTTCCGTTACCCAATGCTTTCAAAAATATTTAATGCGTATTTCAGTCATTTTACTCACCTAAGTATTATGTCATTGAAACTAAACCTTTACTAAGCAGGTATGTTCTGCCTTATGTCATACCTAATCAAAAACCAACTTTAAATATAATGGAAATGATTTCATAAAAATCACTCATCCTATACTGACAATTTTAACACTTGTCCTATACTAACAATCCAACTTAATAGCAATGCGATGTCTTTTTCATTCGCTAACAAAATATTTATACATATATTCCATATTTTGGGAGTTTTAAACAATTTGTGGGACTACATCTAAGGCAGTTCGGATCATCAGACTATAGTGAATAGACACTATTATTTTTCAATGAAAGGTGGAAATTTTCTATGAGGATTTTACCGGATCAGTTCAAACCTTATCTTAATTAGCTGTATTAGTATTAACTGCACTTCATTAGGAGTTAACAATCACGTCTAATTATTTATGTTCCTTATTTGCTTTGATATTCCGTAAGCTTACAACACCTCTGTATCCACTTTACTTTCAGTGACAGATGATGTAAGGAGTTGTACATATCTCATAATGACTGAATGAGAAGTTAAAGTTTCTGAAAAATGGATTTTTTTTATGTTGATAGTTGTAATTTTTAAGTTAAAGGCCAGGGTGCAAATCTCCAAAACCCCATGGGTTTCTAAGTAGTCTCCCACTGGCTACTCCTCAGCAGTGTAGATGTTATCTGCCCATGAGTGTCTGTTCTGTGCTGTAGTACTTCACTGTTGCTTGACAACGGTATATGAATCCATACCAAAACACCGCATCATATATAATAAAAGAAGTTGTTATCCATAAAGAATCTTACTTTTTCATGAGTGACAGGACTGTAACGGCTATGGTGCATGGCAAGAATCTGGTGATGTCAAAGGTTAACCTTGGAATTTATTACTAAAATAGATAGTGCCTTAGAGTAAATGTCCTGACAACCCTTTTCACAATATATGTTGATGACTAAAGAGATTAATTTGATTAGCATACATGAAATTTCAATTTCTGAAAAGAAAATCTTCCTTTAAAGTCGCATGTCAATGACACATCAATATATTGAAAAAATACATTAGATTCACAACAGATCATCATACAGTGAATTTTACCTAATTCGTCAGCCACAAACAGCACGACCCCGTAGTATGCTTCAACTTCTGAATATGATTGAATTTCAATACAGGAGCGATCAGCTCCTTAACCTACATATATGTGTAAACCCCAAGAGAATATTTTTCAGCTCACATTGGTACCTGGAATCCTGATACTGGAATATATGTATGTGTTGTAATGAGCAGCAAGATTTAAAACTACCGTATTTCCTCTATTAAGCGCCGGGACTCTAAAAACTGCCGGGGATAAGCAGTGCTTTAAGAAATAAGCACCGGGTCTCTAATAAGCGCCGGGTATAGACCTTTGCCTTTTTTTCGCAAATGAATTCTCCCTTGGTCTAAAAATAAATATATTAAGGAATGGTCCCTTAAATCATAACTTCCTTTTTTCCTTCGCTTTTAAAAATACAGGGTATTTTAATTAGCACCGGGCCCCTAATAAGCGCCGGGTCTTGAGGTCCGTTGAAAAAATAATCACCTGGGGCGCTTATTAGAGGAAATACGGTATTTACCTAGAAGATGCTGTTATCAACTGTTATGTTTGGTATCGTAATCAAGACATCATTATCAATATTTTTCATGCATCTGTTCAATTAAAAACCTGTTACTGTTTGACACAGCACGTTGTTGCCCCAAACATGCATTAATTACTAAACCCAGCCTTGTTTTGTAGCGTGATCCAGAATACCCGGAAACAATTCGCAACTGCCGTAAAGGTGGAGGGTTTCTTTGTCAGTTTCCTAATTAGATTTTCTATAATAAATCAGGATCTTATCTATTTCTTATTTGGTGTAACATGAAACATGGCTCAGACAGATATTTCCCTTAGGCACTTGAGGCATTTTTTCACTGGCGCATGCAGTCGTTCTTTTGTTAGTGATCGATACGGAATTAACTGCCTTGCGCATAATATGTCTTGACTGTCAACTTTATCCAAGATATCTGTCACAGTCAGTGAAACCCAGATGCACAAATATACTTATCAGAAATCAGGAATGATAATCAGGGTGAAACCCGAATTCGAACCCACGGACATCGCATCTTGGCACTACTAAGGGATGCAACTCTGCACAGCGAAGCCCAGTGCAAAGATCATGTAATTCAGATGTACGGGTAGTTATGCCACGAAATAGCAGTAAGCACTTTTCCACTAATAAACACGTGGTAAATATACCTTGATTTCCACACTGTCCCAGCTGTAGAGTTATAATTTCTCGAGGCATGATTGCTTTCGACGACTTCCGCGGAGTTGAAAATGGCGGTAATTTGAACGGTGCTTATAAAAGATGAAATGTAAATGATACGAAAAACAAACCATTATCAGTAACAACTTACAACTTAACTTCGGCTTACTATATAAGATTTTGAAAATGTAAAGTGGATATGGCTTTACGTATATTAATCGTGAAGATGAACGCAACACATTGTTTGGAAATGCATTACCTGCATTAGTTCATGCAATTAACGGTGATCTCAATTAAGCTCTTTGTATCTTCCTTGTTTGACGTGATGTCATCATGAGATATGGGGAATAACGGCCATTTATATAAGCTGTACGAAAAGAGTAACACATTTATTTTCAAATACTGATAAAAGATTAAAATTGATAATAAAATATTTTCTGTACAATACGTTTTGTTTTGTTTTCAAAATGTTTACATCCGATCATTTTACAAAGCACACTACGTAATAAAGGATGCATTTCAGGACAGTTTGTCAGGTTGGCTTTCTAAATAAAGTTTGAATCGAAAATGATATATTACATTTAAAACTATTTCTCGTAACACTTGAAACAATGGACATGAAAGTAAAACGTGAACTGGGTCTTCAACATTTCCATACGTAAAATTTGGTAAAAACCCCATTCTTTTATAGTGAGTGAATGAGTATGGTTTTACGCCGCTTTTGGCAATATTACATCAATATCACGACGGGGGACACCATGCATTTTACCCATGTGCGGAATCGAACCAGGGTCTTCGGTGTGACGAGCTAAAGCTTTAACCACTAGACTACCCCCATATTTTATAACTGGATAGGCGTGAACAGCTGCAAAATTGTTGATGCGGCTTAAAATAATAGTCACTCATTCACTCTCAAGTGTCCCTGTTTCACGAAAGGACCTTCTCGAATAGAAATAAATAAATGTGCCAATATTTTTTCTGCATTTGACTGCAGCGCTAAAATGTATACCGTCAACTCTTGTGGTCGTTTTGAATAGTCTTGTTGCCGACAACTTTGATTTTGGTTTTCATCATTCTGCTGCCCATCGTTTGGTATGAATTGGTGAGAGAATCTCCCTTTCTTTGTTTTCTTCTTTTCCGTGTTGTTGACTGTGGCTTTAGAAAAAAAGAACCACAAAACGTTCAAGGCAACACACCCAGAGGCCAAGTGTACGCTGGCAGAACAGCCGAAGGCATGGCGTACTGTCGAGTAGATCGATACTCATGTATCACTGGATTGTCTGATCAACACACGATTATTTACAGACCAACCCGTGAAGGTCCGGGTTAGAATATTGTTCTTCAGCAACCCATGCTTGTCGTAAGAGGCGACTAACGGGATCGGGTGGTCAGGCTCGCTGGCTTGGTTGACACTCGGTTCCCAATTGCGTAGATCGATGCCCATGCTGATCACTAGATTGTCTGGTCCAGACTCGATTATTTACAGACCACCGCCATATAGCTGGAATAAAAGCTGAGTGCGGCGTAAAACAAAACTCACGCACTCATTTACAGACCAACGTCATACTGCTTGAGTGAGTGAGTATGCTTTTACGCCGCTTTTACCAACATTCCAGCAATATCACGGCAGAGGACACCAGAAATGGGCTTCACACATTGTACCCATGTGGGGAATCGAACCCAGGTCTTCGGCGTGACGAGCGAACGCTTAAACAACTAGGCTATCCCACCGCGCGTCATACAGCTGGAACACTGTTCAGTTGAATTCCAAGAGTCTGTCTTCAGTCAATCTGCAGTTTGTAAATACCACATTGAGATATCATAACTTCTTGGGTGTCAAGTTCTTTACAATAATGATATTCGGAGCATATGTTTCGCATGTTATGTCTGTGATTACACCCTCGTGTTCCCTAATGTGTCGCATGTTATATCAGTGATTACACTTCACTCAGTAAAGAACAGATTCTAATACAGAGTCAGGCACCAAATCGCCAGCACATAAAGTCAGCGATCTAACCCACTCAGCCATCGCAAATAAGTGTTTTGTCCCCACGTTTCGCATTTTATTTGTACCCCCTTTTTGTACCCCTCTGATAAGTGTACATTGGCCGAATTGGCCGAAAGTTCTGAATCGTTATTGTTTAGTTTGCCGTATTAGCATCTATCTGTAGGATGTGTAATCCAATCAACATGGACTGATAATCCAATTATCGCCGGTAACCGTCAGTGCTCCCTAGAGAATTGTCACGGTATATCTCTCCAGCTTAGAAATATTGCGTCATTGTGCGTTGGACCACCCAGTATATATAGCACCCAATATATATAGCAAATATCCACAGGCTCTTCACTGGCTGATAAAGGGCGATGAGTTAGCCTTGTGGTTAAAGCTTTCGCTCGTCACGCTGAAGACCCGGGTTCGATTCCCCTCATGGGTAAAATGTGTGAATCCCTTTTCTGGTGTCCCCCGCCGTGATATTGCTGGAATATTGCTTTAAGCGGCGTAAAACCAAACTCACTCACTCACTAACTGATACAAATTAAAAACAAATTATATTGAAGGTAACGCTACTTACACCTTATACATAGCCACTAATCTATCTTACACACCCTGATATATCCAAATACTCTAAATTACTTTGATAAGTCTAGATTCCAGGTGTGAGAGATTTTTTCTTTCTGTGATTTCATCTGCATTTCAAAGAATTTGTGTTCTCCCATATGTAAACCATAGTAAAAAAGCTAAGTTCGGCAGTTACTGACATATCTGAAGCTGTTATACCCAATTAAAAATGTAATGCCCCCAAAAGATCTAATGATAAAATGTTAACTTATACTATTCAGCAGTAATATAAACATATATCTGCTGTTATACTGTAGTACACGTAATCATAAAAGTCCATTTACGCATCTATAATAAACGGAAATCCGATTTCGGCACAGAGTTTAACTTTTATATATAGTGTTGTTCCCGCGGTGACGTGATTACAATTCTTTTACATTCATAATAGAACTGTCATATATAATAACTTGCATTTTTTCCTCGTATGATGGAGAATAAGGGACAGCGGCTATCTTAAACGAAAAAAATAAGCATGACTTTCACAAAATCCGTATATTCTCATGACGTCATACCAAAACAAAAATACTACGAGCACTTGCTGAACGAATGTTTCTGACAGACGCATAATTTGAATATTTGCGCCTCAAAATGGACAGTAGAAGTTATTCGGGAGGCTATGGAGGCGTTAAAGGACTCGAGGAAGACATTATAAGTCTTCTAAGCCCGATCGAACCGATCGTTATGCGAATACAAAGCCTCTTGGTTTGGGAGTACCCTCACAGAAGTGCAGTCATGTTCATCTGCGTACATCTCTTGTTTTGGTCTGTATTTATTCATGCACAGTTTTCTGGATTTATGCAGTTATAAAATCCCATAATATGATATCGCCCGTGTCAGGAGATGCTTTACAAATGCCAATTTTGATTGTTTTGATTATGACGGAGTTCAGTCAGAAGTAGGCCATGTCAAAGAAAGTAAGATTCACCTCGTTTGTTTTCAGGTATTTGGCAGCAACTTCCATGAGTTCATATTTTCTTATATCAAGTGCAACTTTAATTCTTTTCTTTGTGGATACATGGAAGAAGAAAATCTGGCCTGAAATAAGAGGTAAGGGACTTGATTTTGATAAACGTGATAAAAGTGTCAGGTGAATCTGATTACTTGGTGCATGACCTCTCGGCTGTGACAGTTCTGTGTCAGCTGTGAGAAAAGGCCCGTATTTGCCTTCCTCAGATAACACTGTTTATCCGGTGACACGGTTGTGTTGTCTCAATGTTATTTGTAAACAATAATGTTATCAATGAAAGATATTTCCAATGCATGTTGACATACAATTTTGGAGCAGAAAGAAATATGAGGGTATTGTGTCACATATGAAATCTTTAACAAGCTATGTTCAGTTGCTGGTCTGATGTGAGATTGTGAATTCATAAATGAATGCGTTCTGAAGGGGGTTCAAGGGTTCGGGGAGATGTATGAACTGCAGTGATCATAGTGAATCAGGATGGGGGTATATAAATATTTGACAAATTCACTTGTTTTAAACATTTTAAAAAGTTTCTTTTCAAAATGACAGTAATACCCATACAATTTGATGTAGCAGCACAGATAAAAGTACAGCATATCTCTATGAATATGATAAAAATAGGGTTTTGATTACATTTCATTTCTAAATACAGTAGGTAGGCATTTTGCGGAACTACCAGTTGGTGTTTGGTACATATGTGATGTGTGAACTTTAATTTGTTACAAACAGTGAGTACCACTAAACAAGTTGCGAGCAGATTAGTGTCAGTTGTGTAACCCCATCGTTTTGTTTACTCTTCAGCTCAGATGTCTCTAGCACTAACAGCAATTTCTGTCAATAATGCAAAAACATGTCAGGTTTTAGAAACTGTATGTCATGCATAGTTCATAGCTTTTGTAAGCAAGACTTGGTGGTCAGGTGTCATCGTGACCCAGTTACGTAGATCAATGCCAAACCTAAACTAAACAGTTTAACAAGATGCTTTTCAACTGCATATTTTCAAATACAGTAGAAGCTTCATATGCTAATTAAGGAAATAGGTACAGACTATAGTCCATTTGACTCAAAATCGGACCCATGAATTGCAATCTAACTCAAAAACTACTAAACATATAATACTCAATGAAACACTGATCACAATCAAAACATCAGACCAACTCTGTGATTTTTTTTGCAGAATTCAAGTCCTAAAAATAAAACAAGTTTGAATCCCGCAAGGGACTCAACCCAACAAAAGTACTAGAATCTATACTTTACTAAGAAAGTGTAATCCCAAATATAACATACGTTACAGCTTCTAGTAGTGTCCTGATCTTGTAGTGGGTGTGATTGCTGGAGAGTACATTGATCCGTAGAACTCTCCCCATTGTTCAGCACACCAACTTCTAAATGCAATTCAAAGAAGGTACCGACAATATATATATTAAGTATGTTTGAATGTATTACTAGACAGAGGAATCTCTTCACTTTTTGTCTGCTTATCAACTTATGTCACTAAACATGAGATAACAGGCAGCAGATATTTAAAGCAGCATTGTTACAGTTTCACACAAAGACCTTTATTTAATCATGTTTTTATTGTTTACATATTTTTCTTAAGAGTGGATTGAAACAAATAGAGTCAATTGTTTGCAAATGTTTATGTGACCCACAGAAAGTACTGCAAAGGTATTGTATATTGTTACTGTAGTCACATGTTCCATACTTATTTGGGTAAACAGATGCAATTGACAACAACATCAGCAACATGCAGCTTGTATACATGTGTGATTGTTATCTTGCAGTTCCGCCGCCTGTGCCTGATGATATAGATGGGTGAGTAAAATAGACAAGACTTCAGGGGTCTTATGTTAATCACGTTTCTTTACATTTCGGAAGGACTGTGTTAAACTATTGTGAAATGAATCAGTATACTGAGTGAGTGAGTGATTTAAAGTCACACCTGGCAGTGGCGAACAAAACATTCATAAGAGAATTTCAACCTGTGAAGATCTGGGTTAGAATTGATCTTCAGCACCCTGTGACTTGTCATAAGAGGTGAGGTGAGCTGAGGTGAAATTGGGTTTAACGTCGTGCTTGAGAATATTTTGCTCATATGACGACGTGCATGTGTGTGTATGTGTAAGTGCGGCTGCTTGTACTAGCCCAGACTTAAGCTGGTTTTATAGTGCTAGCCCACTGAGATACCATGCCGCAGTGAAGCATAAATATATCCCACTCAGACACATTATACTGACTCCGAGCCGACCAGTCCTTGTTGTACCCATTAATGCCGAGCGCCAGGCAGGGACCAACAAGTACCATATTTTAACGTCTTTTGGTATGACGTGGCCGGGGATCGAACCCGCGACCTTCCGCTCTCCGGGCGGACGCTCTAACCACTACACCACAGAGGTGGTCTCTTGTCATAAGAAGCAACCAACATGATTAGGTAGCCAGGCACTTTGACTTGGGTGATGCGTTTCACTGTATCCCAGTTGTACAGATTGGTCTTCATGATGTCAACCACTGCTTTTTTTACACTCTTCATCTTTTAGGAATATTGATCTTTATGGTACACTTTAACATGTTGACTGCCACCACGAATATACTCATAGTATCAATGTCTGGCCCAGTTTTCCACTACGAGCTATCTCATAGCTATATCAGTGGTATTTTAAAACAAGTTTCACATGTTGGCAAAACAGGCACAGAAGCAATTGTCTTCTGGCGGTAACAAATAAGACCAGGAGACGTTTGTTTCTTGCGCCTATTTTGCCAACATGTGAAACTTGTTTTAAAATACCACTGATGTAGCTACGAGACTCGTAGTGGCAAATTCCGCCAGAATTGATACTACGAGTATACTCGTGATAGACAGTCAACGTGTTAATCATGTTAATACCCTTAAGTAGCCATTCTAAGCCCAGGAAAAAGCATCTTTAATTCTGTCCCTGAGGTTAACCAAGTCTTCCAAAGAATCGTCCAATGAATGTATCAGGGATTTACCTTGAGTCCTATATTTGAGGGTCCCTGGGACTCATACTCTTAATTTTCAGGGGTCCTGGACTAAAAGTGGGGGTCCAGATACTTAAATATTATTGTTCATACAATGTTGTAATATTGTTATAATTCAGTTACTGTTATTGTATTGTGTATCATGATCATCACATTGTTACAGTAATTAATTGCAAATGATACCATAACTCAGTTAGTAGCAGACTCAGTGATAACTTATTATTACCATGATTATGATTAGTTGATTGAAAATCGTCCAATGATATGGCTGAAATATTGCCGATGTGTCGTTAAATAATAACTCACTCACTCATTACTTGATCAAAATTTTACAAAAAGTATTTTGACTTTTTTTCTGCATCCCCGAGACTCGAGCTAATAAATTTTGTTGCATCCATTGTCAATTTTTATGCGTATAGGACGCAGGAATTCACGTACCGTAAATCCCTGATTGTATGTATTTGTTGACGTTTCAATTTATTGAAACCAGTCTGTTTGTGACTGTGTGAACATTTTCTTTCAGCTGGACCCCTGTCCATCCTCGTCTGCTAAATGTGCTCGAGATTTCCCATCATGCAGCTGAAGTTCTTCACAACATTCTCAACACACTCCATGAGTTACGCTTGTTTCGTAGGAACAACCCAAGAATGGTAAGTTTGTTAATACTAAAAGTTGAAGTTGTATATTTTGTAAAAACTCATACGACACAAAGAATGGTGCCTGTGAAAGTGTTAGAGGTGGGGAAGAAATTTTGTGATATTTGTAAAGAATGCAAAGGTAGTAGCTGACATTCTAGGTGGCAAAATGGTTGTATTCAGACACAATTTCTAAGTTCTTTGCAGTGATTAGAGTTCTTTCACTGTATTACAACACATAGGGACAGTTAGTGACAATAAATAGAGAATCTCACCCAAGTGTCTATTGATAATGATATCAATTATAGCAACACGAGTTGATAAAGTTACAAATACCAGAGGCTTCCGGAGGATATTTTTACTTTTGTCAACGAGTGTTGATATAATTGATATCAGTAGACACGAGGGTGAGATTCTATTTATCATAAAAAAATCACTCTTCATTAGTTTTCAATGAAGAATGTACATCTCTGAGCACGATACTGCCATTAGACTTGCAGTGCAGTGATGTCATAGCTTTGTGACGTCATCAAGTTTTCCATGTCATAGCATTGTGAGTCATGTAATTGATGATGTCAGGGCATTATACAAAATCTACTGACAAAACGACATCTCCTAGGTGATATCGTTTGATCTCACACAAGCAATATCTCCAGTGGAACACAGTTTTGGATGATAAAGTGGAATCTGTTTCTTCAAGAGGAGTCACTAAATAATGCATGGTCCTGTCTCTCTGCATGCCATGCCAGGGTATCAGGGTACTGGTTAGTAATCAATCTGTCATTGAGGGGCGGTGGGGTAGCCCAGTGGTTAAAGCGTTCGCTCGCCTTGCCGAGGGGCCCGTGTTCAATTCCCCACATGGGTACAATATGTGAAGCCAATTTCTGGTGTCCCCGTCGTGATATTGCTGGTATAATGCTATAAGCAGCGTAAACTCATACTCACTCACTCAATATGTCATTGAATTAGATTTATTGTATTTATTCCACATTTTTCAAGCCAAAGAAATAAAGACAACCGCTTATGTGTCAGCAGATGGTCAGAATGGTCATATGTGCTGAGAGAAACTAAGAAAGGAAAACAGGGAAATTCAAGTGTTCCTTTAATATTTCCCAGTTTTCATCACCAGCTTTGAGTGGCGCTGTGTGATTAAATCTGAGAATAAATAAAGTGGTGCCATGAAGTGGTTTTGTTTTTGTTTTTGCCAGTGGTTGTCATGGCAATAATTTAAACATGTTAAATAAAAGTGCATCTGATTCTGTTTAAATAGATGATTATTTCAGTATTTCTAAAGCTTGTGCCAGACTACAGCACAGTCATTTTTAATTCTTGATTGAATGTATACCGTATATGACCGTCTATAAGCTGAATTTTGAGGACCATAAAAAGCAGTCTCTAGAAGGGGGTCGTCTTATCCATGAGTTACGCTTTCGTCAAACTTTTTTCCAGGGGTAAGAAAACAACATCGTATCACTTCGCATGAACAAACAACAGAAGACGACTTTGTCAGTAGAGACGTCAAATTTGCAATTAAACATCACTAGACAAGATTATTTACCTTTTAAGTTCTAAGTTGTTTTTGGTGGGCATTGTATTATTTGCAGGGATTAAGATTACCGTGTGTATCTGAGCCGGAAAAAGCAATCAGCTGTGCACATGTTTCCCGGCGATCAAGTTAAAACATGCACAATAATATAACGGGACGAATTCTGACGCAGTCATCAGTAAAATATAATACAGAGTACTATTATTTAACCCAAAGAAATATAACCTAGCATTGTGTAATTTTAATTACAGTTTTTGCTCTATAAATTAATTAAGATTAAGATTACCATGTGTATTTGAGCCGGAAATGGCAATCAGCAGCGAACAAGTTCAAACATGCACAATAATATAACGGGACGAATTCTGACGCAGTCGTCAGTAAAATATAATACAGAGTACTATTATTTAACCCAAAGAAATATAACCTAGCATTGTGTAATTTTAATCACAGTTTTTATGTAAAATATATATAATCAACACTAAGGTTATACGGACCCTCATGAACGTGGTAAGCAGAAGTTGTACGCACATGGAATGGGGTAAAATACGGAAGCCATTTAAATTCACACATTTTTACCGATGTTACTGTAAACTAGCAGTCAATGGAAAACAAGGCGGTAATCAGTTCGTGATTGTTGAATGGGGTAAAATAAGCAAGCCAGTTTGTTGCTACAATAAATATGATATTTAGAGAAACAAAATATATTATGCATTTTCTGTCAACTACACTTCGTTTCGATCCGTGAGTAGACGCAATATTTCTTTGAATAATGTGGACCAAAGTTATAATTATTGGTAACTGCCAGTTGTCTGTGGTCTGTGTTTGCCGCAATTAGGACCCCATCGCGGGGGATCGACTTATGCACGAAACATACCATTTTGACACTGATTTTAAGGGTCAAGTTTGGGGGTCGTCTTATCCATGGGGTCGTCTTATAGACGGTCATATACGGTACACAATTTCTTGGATGTACACTATTTTGTTCAAATGCACACTGCATAACCTGATAGTAACAGCCAAATGCACATTTATTTTCACAATGGTTCATGTTTTTATGCAGACATGTTGCATGGGTGTACTGGTAAGGACTGGAACAGTTAATCATTTTCATCGCTGCACGTCTCTCCCCGCAACATCACTCTCATTCCACTACCAAACACATCTGTATTATCTGTCGCTATACCTGTAAAGGAAACTGTTATGCATGGTCTTTTCTTTCTCTGACATTGTTTACTAGATGAAATGACAAGGGCAGTTTGGCACTAGTAGTTCTTCCAAACTTGAGTGCAGCAAATTCTTTCTTTGGCTTGAGACGATCTCTGGCACTGACTGTCTCTTCAGTTTACAGCTTTTTTTGACTTGCAGTAACTATGTTCAGATAAGAACTAATTGGTATTTTCATACTACCGGTTATAACCTGGATACCATTATGAACGGAAACAAAGAACTTACTCACTGTGAAAACCAGAAAATAGTTGAATCTGTCCACAATTTTATTATCAAGACACAACGCTTTAAATTTTCACAGAAAAATAATTAACTTAACATACCAATAACCTTCTCATAATTGTTCTATATTTTTACAAATGGCTTGTCAGACACACTAAACTGTAACTCTCTATTTGTGTTTACTTAGATGATAGTTGTATTTGTACTTGATGTTATATGTATACATATATTATTCATATGATAGTCAATATCGATGATGACACATGCTTCATCTAAATTTTGTATTATATATGTTGTGTGGGAGCGGTGTGAATATAAGCTGTAAAGCTTGGTCACCAACCCCAATTCATTTTTATGAATAAAAATATGTTTAAACCAGATTACAGCTTATTCAGACCAACACAATGTGGATAGCTTCTCTAAGCCTTGTATGCTTTTGTATGGATTACTACACTTTAATATTGGACTATTTCTATCATCATCTACTTCTTCTTCATCTTCATCTTTATCGTCATCATTGGGCAGGGTGGGGGTGTGTAGCCTACTGTTTGTAACGCCAAAGACCAATGTTTGATTCCCCACTTGGGTAGAATGCGTGAAGCACAATCCTGGTGTCCACTGCCATATTGCTGAAATATTGCTGAAATATTGCTAAAACGGCATAAACCATACTCACTCACTCACATGCCGGAAAGATTGTAAGGTTGCCAAGTGTTGGGAGAGTTGGAGATGGGTCAGTTAAACCAGTGACGATTGTAACGCTGCTAAGTGTTTGGATTGAGTATTGGGGATGTTTTAGGTCAACAGGGGAAGATTGTAAGGTTGCCAAGTGTTGGGAGAGTTGGAGATGGGTCAGTTAAACCAGTGAAGATTGTAACGCTGCTAAGTGTTTTGATTGAGTATTGGGATGTTTTAGGTCAACAGGGGAAGATTGTAAGGTTGCCAAGTGTTGGGAGAGTTAGAGATGGGTCAGTTAAACCAGTGACGATTGTAACGCTGCTACGTGTTTTGATTGAGTATTGGGGATGTTTTAGGTCAACAGGGGAAGATTGTAAGGTTGCCAAGTGTTGGGAGAGTTAGAGATGGGTCAGTTAAACCAGTGACGATTGTAACGCTGCTACGTGTTTTGATTGAGTATTGGGGATGTTTTAGGTCAACAGGGGAAGATTGTAAGGTTGCCAAGTGTTGGGAGAGTTAGAGATGGGTCAGTTAAACCAGTGACGATTGTAACGCTGCTAAGTGTTTTTGATTGAGTATTGGGGATGTTTTAGGTCAACAGGGGAAGATTGTAAGGTTGCCAAGTGTTGGGAGAGTTGGAGATGGGTCAGTTAAACCAGTGAAGATTGTAACGCTGCTACGTGTTTTGATTGAGTATTGGGGATGTTTTAGGTCAACAGGGGAAGATTGTAAGGTTGCCAAGTGTTGGGAGAGTTGGAGATGGGTCAGTTAAACCAGTGAAGATTGTAACGCTGCTACGTGTTTTGATTGAGTATTGGGGATGTTTTAGGTCAACAGGGGAAGATTGTAAGGTTGCCAAGTGTTGGGAGAGTTAGAGATGGGTCAGTTAAACCAGTGAAGATTGTAACGCTGCTAAGTGTTTTGATTGAGTATTGGGGATGTTTTAGGTCAACAGGGGAAGATTGTAAGGTTGCCAAGTGTTGGGAGAGTTGGAGATGGGTCAGTTAAACCAGTGAAGATTGTAACGCTGCTACGTGTTTTGATTGAGTATTGGGGATGTTTTAGGTCAACAGGGGAAGATTGTAAGGTTGCCAAGTGTTGGGAGAGTTGGAGATGGGTCAGTTAAACCAGTGACGATTGTAACGCTGCTACGTGTTTTGATTGAGTATTGGGGATGTTTTACTGACTGACTGACTGACTGAGTTTGGTTTTACACTGCTTTTAGCAATATTCCAGCAACATCACGGCAGGGGACACCAGAAATGGGCTTCACACATTGTACCCATGTGGGGATTCAAACCAGGGTCTTCGGCGTGACGAGCCAACGCTTTAACCATTAGGCTACCCCACCGCCCCTGTGGATGTTTTGGGTCAACAGGGGAAGATTGTAAGGTTGCCAAGTGTTGGGAGAGTTAGAGATGGGTCAGTTAAACCAGTGAAGATTATGACGCTGCTACGTGTTAGAGGGTGCTGTACTTTTGATGGTAGCTCATTATAAGGACAGCTTTACAACTGTGTGAGTGTCATATGTGAAAAGTTATTTCAAATTAAGGAATGTGATTTACGTCAGAAATTGGTCCTTAGTTCCTCGATATTTTTGTCCAGAAGACAGAGTACACAATTCAGATGCCTGAGTCTGATGATAACAGTCAGACTGACTACCTTGGTTGATGTATGTCACACCTATGTTCTTATGAGGACACTATCATGAACAGACCTGACCCGTGAAGATCCGGGGTAGAATAGGTCTTCAGCAACCCATTCTTGTCATAAAAGGCGACTATGCTTGTCGTAAAAGGCGACTAACGGGATCGGGTGGTCAGGCTCGCTGACTTGGTTGACACATGTCATCGGTTCCCAATTGCCCAGATTGATGCTCATGCTGTTGATCACTGGATTGTCTGGTCCAGACTTGATTATTTACAGACCGCCACCATATAGCTGGAATATTGCTGAGTGCGGCGTAAAACTAAACTCACTCACTCACTCATGAACAGACCTCCATCATGTATATACCGTAAAGATTCGTGTTAGAATTTGTGTTGAGCAACCTGTGCTTGTCGTAAGAGGTGACTAACAGGAATCGGGGGTTAGGCTCAGTGACTTGGTTGACACATGTCATCTATCTCAGTTGTGTAGATCAATGCTCATGCAGTTGATCACTGGATTGTTTTGTCCAGATTCGATTATTTACAGACTGTTGTAGCTAGAAAACTGCTGAGTGTGCATTTAGAACTCAATTCAGAAATTGTCACTAAGTTAACAAAGAACCCCCAGGACCATAAATATGTTTTCGCATTATTAACAGAGATTCAGATTATTCTGAGTCTGGACTGGACAGTTTCCGAGTGTGGAGGAAAGTTTACAGTATATAATAACTTCACACCATGTGACAGAGGCAAACTGTAGATTAACATGTTTTAGAGCTAATGACATGGTAATGGAGTAATGGTTATGTCTACAATGTGCTATGACTGCCTCTTTGTGGTAATTGGATATTTTTTGTCATTTCAGTTTTCGATAGTGTGTATGATAATTTGCCTCATCCTAATGGTGATTGGTCGCTACATCCCGGGAATAATGCTTTCGTATATCCTAGGTGAGTAGAATCTTAACAATAGTATGTATAGTAGTACATTACAGGGTGATACGCTTTGAGGAGGGGTTTCTACCTGTGAAATGACAAAATGGTTGTTTTGTTCTAAATTAGGGTTTTCTTCAAAGGTCTTATTTTCTTTAATGACCTTTTAATATTGAATTTTAACTCTGCGTCAATTCAGTGTTATTAAACTAAGCATTAGTGCCTCTGACTTTGTACAGGTACAGATATCAGTGAAATAAGTGTCTCCTTTACAATGCTCCATGTAATGTAATATTTAAGGCTCAAAGCAACTTTTTGAACAGGCACACTTCATAATTCATGTCAAGTCAAATTACCTACAATGTTGTTATTGTTATCTAATTTACAGATCTGACAATAAGAACGATTAATATTTACTTACACTGTCAAATCTCTGAAAAGATGACATTGTTAGAGGAGAAACTTGTAGGCCTGTTAGCCTCAACCTAACTAAAGAAATTTTGATTTTATCAGACATGAAACACATAAACTGCTTTATATGCATGTGTGAGTAAGTGAGGCAAGAAAAGTCATAAAATAAACTTTATGAAAGTTCAATGAAAATGGTGTCACATGTCACATTCAATGTTAAAAACTGACTGTTGAAATAAACACTATAATTTTTTCGATACAATTTAATTTCTTTTAAATATTAGAAACTAATCTGAAAAGAATAAGGACTATCTTTATGGACATACAACTAAGTGCAGGCAAGTGCTTGTCAACGGCATTAGAGTCAAAACATTGCCTATACAGAATAAACAAGTTGTATATCCATAAAAATAGTTCTCATTCTTCATCTACTCAACTTCTAGAATGCCAATCAAAGACATGATCTGAAAAGGGCAGGTAAAGTATTGTCATAAAAATCATGTCTGATTAGCGCAAAATCAACACCTTCAAGCAAAATAGTAATTGGACTGTCGCAAGGGATGCAAAGTATCCAAGTTTGTTGCTGTTTCATTGATATGAGATAATGCACACACTAGTTGTATACAGAGTTATCAGATGGGAAATGTTGAGAACATTCCAGGTATTCTGAGAGATATAGTAATGAGGGTCACTCAGTGAATCGTGATGTGATAATGGAGGTGTGGTTTGTTCCAGTGATGAGTGGGATGCTGTGGCCTTGCATCGTCTACCACAACGTGTTGAAGAAGGCGTATCTCAAACTGGAGCCAGCGTTCATGTGGCTGGAATATAATCTCAAAATAAAGATGTCAAGGTCACCCAAAGGTATGCTCAAGCAAAATCATGTAATGTGGCAAGAATAATGATTATTTTCTGGGTTTACAATTTTTTTGTTAAAATAAAAAAAATGGTATAAAATATGATATGGTTGCAAAAGTTGTGTTTGTTTGTTTGGTGTTTAAGCTACTCTCAACAATGTTCCAGTTATATAATGGAATACGGTAAATAATTGAATCTGGACTTGACAATCTAGTGATTGGCCTCAAATGCATTGATCTATGCAATCAGGATATAATGACTGCATAAACCTAGTCAGCAAGCCTGAACAATTGGTCTTTTTCGTCACCTCTTGCAACAAGCAAAGGTTGCTGAAGACCAATTCATCTTTCAAGTAACACACATGAAGGTCCTTTGAAGTTAATTCTGGGGTTTGGTTCTTAAAGGCACTATTTCACACCACACTTCTCTAAAAAGAAATAATGCATTTCTCTGAGTATACTAACTATAATTTATTTTGATTAATTACTTATTTTGATTACAATATTAAATTGAAAAGTTCAAATGAATTAATGCAATGTTGCAATAAATCGACTCTTGCACCCTCTACCGGCTGAACATTATTTCAAGCGAACCCCATAGAGTTATGTCCCTTGGAGTGCTCTTTATGAATATCCTACACACAACTTGTGATGGAAACCAATTCGGTAAACACCCACAACACTGCGTGTGACAATGTTCGATGTACGAAGCAAATGTTTATGTTCCATATATGGCTGTCTGGAAGCTGTTCACCTCAAAGTTTCAATTATCGATTTCAGGCAAGTCGTAATTAGTTTTTTATTGCATCAGTAGGAACCTATAGTGTGTGCATGTGCCCCACTATGTATAATATAGGCCAAAATATTGTCGAAAATGTGTGAAATTGTGCCTTTAATGAAATAAGCATAGCTCCCAGCACTGGATCATGTAAACCCACTCTATGACTTGGTTTATCATGTGTCCTTCATAGGGATGCCATGATACATCGATACATTGATACTTTTTCTAAGACGATACAATTATCGATACATTCAAAACTGTATCAATATTTAGTTTTGAAAGTATCAGTTTAAATATGTTTGTTTCATTTTCATTTTGCAATTGTTATTGATGTTATGAGAGTTATAAAGGATTATTTTTCATGCACAAAGATGGGAAATTAGAACTTTTTAATCTCTGAGAATCAAAAATGTTGATCTTTTCATGGACAATAAAATATGAAATATTAATGTTCAAAATGTACCTAAATTTACGCAATAATACCACGAAAATAGGTATCGTGATACGTATCGAATCGTGACATGGGTATCGCGTGATACATGGGTATGTGATCGATTCGAATCGTGACATGGGTATCGTGTTACGTATCGAATCGTGACATGGGTATCGTGATATGTATCGATTCATGAAACTTATGTATCGTGACATCCCTAGTCCCTCATAAAGAGATTAAGCTCATAATATCAATCACTCGAACATTTACAGCCGTAAAATAGCTGCAATATTGTAAACAACATGCAAACAGATTTGGTGAATTAAATGTAACTGTTGTGCTTACATAAACTAAACATTCTCCTCCCAGTGACCAGTGGAGCTTCAGTTGGCTCCCTGAATGAATGCCACTGTTGAGGATGACTACGATGAGTTCTGTCCACCGACGGACCCGACAACCACGGCGCTGCTGGCCCGCGCCATCACAGACAGCGAAGATGAGGGAGGGCCATCAGCCATACCTACACCCCAGCTGTCTAAAGAACCTTCCATGGACAACAGTGACAATGGTAGGTCCTGTATAGTTTCTCTGCAATATTGAGAAATACATGTCCAAGATGAACTTCAGTTGTTGTGGCTTGGCTCCATGGTAGTGAAGCTATGTTGACACTAATGAATGTGTTCATAAATCACTGGGGCAGTGGGGTAGTCTAGTGGTTAAGGCATTCGCTAGTCACTCCGATATAATCGATATAATTGATATCAGTAGACACGAGGGTGAGATTCTATTTATCATAAAATATGACTCTTCATTAGTTTTTCAATGCAGAATGTGGGTCAGTGGGGTAGAATAGTGGCTAAAGCGTTCGCACATCACACCGAAGACCCGGGTTCGATTCCCTACATGGGCACAATGTGTGAAGCCCATTTCTGGCGTCCCCCGCTGTGATATTGCTGGAATATTGCTGGAATATTGCTAAAAGCGGTGTAAAACTAAACTCACTCACTCCTTCATAAATCACTACCATACAGTGATGATACCAGGTGTAGGTGCATAGCCTTTCCCAACACTATCACAAACACATGCAAAGGCAAGTCATACATTGACCCAAAATATAAAATACTGGAAAATTGTTGTAAATGTCGGAAAGGGGAATTGTATCAAACGTATATTTGTCACTTATCTGTTTTAAAAGTAAGAAAAGTGAATTGCATCGGGCTATATACTGTAAAACGAGAAAATTTCCCACCTTTAAAATTTTGCGACCTTGATACCTCATCCGGTTCTGCGACGTGTTATTTTTACGAGAGGCACCCATCCACGCAAAAACAACAACTCAAACTGCCACTACGCCAGAAATCACTTGTCATCTTTGATGTTTTCACTGCGCACCGACGTGAGTTATTCCTCAACTTGTTAAAACCACGTAACTTCCTGGTCAAGTTCGTTCCGGCAGGCTGCACCGGCGAGACAGCCGTGAAAGCTCAGTTCTACGCTAACAGCGTGACAAAGAACTTAAAGGACAAGACGGAATATGGAATAAACTTTTAAAAAAACACGCAAATTCGTTGCCGTTTCTGCGTCTTAAAACTTTAGCGAGGTCAGGACAAGCGCAAAGTTCGTAAAAATATCCTGCTCGCAAAATTTTCTCGTTTTACAGTATGTCACTTATGTGGCATGTTTTAAAATGTCCCCAGGTCTACAGCTCTACTGTGGCCTTGAATGCTGTATTTATTTAAACCTTAGTCACACAGATTGTGAGTTAAGAGTCGTTAACATCATCTCCTCAGAAACCACTGAACCAATGCAGCTCATACTGAAGCTGCCTGTTCCCACTAAATGATGACACCCATTTTGAATCTGAATTTCAATATGGCCACTACAGCAGCCATATTAGAAATACAATTTATTGTCATTACTTGGTCTATTTGTTAAAAATGTAATGGGGCTGGTGGGGTAGTGGTTAAGGCGTTGCTCATCACACTGAAGACCTGGGTTTGATTCCCCTCATGGGCACAATGTGTGAAACTCTTTTCTGGTATCCCCGGCCATGATATTGTTGCAATATTGCTAAATTCGGCATAAAACCATACTCACTCAGTCACTCAAAATATAATGAAATTAGATACATGTGTTGTGAGTGGTGAGACTGTCACTAAAATCTGTATTACAACAATGTTCTGCAATACCACATTTGTCTTACAGATTTAAAATCATTGTGGCTAGTTAGATATATATGAAACTTGATCCATAAAAATCAAATAATAATTATGCTTAAAAATTAGGGGAAGTGTGTGGGGGGGAGGAGGGTCATTGATTTTGTACTTGAAATGCATGGGGGCTGGAGTGTGTGTTGTGGGGGGCACTTACTTTGTACACAAATTTTAGGGGGTTATTCACATTGTACGTGCTTCTCCATAAATATCATCATCATCCCCCCAGCCATATATGATGAACGGTCCCTTGTAATTTTCGAACAGTTTTTTCTATAACATATGTTCATTTCAGTGACTAGATGTTAGACTAATCAAGTAATAAAACCAGACAATGCACATAATGATTTTCTTCATTGGACAATAAAGTGATGTGAAGCTGAATGTTTGGTTATGAAGCAGGCAGGTATCAAAATCAAATCAAAACATGGTCTGATGATAAATCATTTAATTTTCAGAAGAAGAAGACTTTGAGCCAGGTCTAGAACGCATGCCTTCATTCGATGACCTTGATCAAACTGACGATGAATTCATGCCCAACAATGGCCAGGACCGCAGCATGCCCTTCAACCCTTCCCACTTCGGTGATGACTCAGACTCCGACGAGGACATCAACTTTCCGGACATCTCTGAAGTTGACTCTTCCGTACTGGAACACACACCAACATCGGAAGGCCTCCTCAGCGCTCCCTTCAGTGTGCTCGCCAGCTCTGTTGTCAGCCAAACCCTGTCTTCCATGGTAGAGAACGCTCTCCACAGTGTGTCCAGAAGGGGAGAGGACTCCAGCACTTCCTCCTATGGTCGTCTGCCTGGCACGGATGCCCAGATCACCTACACACGAACAGACATTGGGGAGGCAATGGATGTGTTACCACAGGATACAACGCTCGAGGAGGAAGATGAGGAGGAAGAAGATGAAGATGAGGAAGAAGAATTTGGAAGACAGATTGAAGCAGACATTGAAAAAGAATTTGATTTTTTGGACGATTTTGAACCAGGGAATAAGCCCAAGAAATGAGGCTACTCAGGGGGTTGTGAGTTTGTATTGGTTTCGTTTTGATACTAAAAGCTTGATGAGAATTTATAGGTTATATTTTTGTATCTAAACAGTGAAGACATTTTTTCTAAGTGTTCATGTGGTTATGATACGGATTCTGCTTTCCTTGGGAGTTGTTATGTGATTAATGACAAGAAATGGGGTTTGACAACTATATGACAGCTGTGTGATGTTCTGTAGGCGTGTGGTCATCTGAATCTGGAAGAATCATTGGTTTTGAGGTTTTGAAATAGTTTCTTTTAGGATTTTCACAAATTATTTATTTCGTTACTAAAAGAACTAGACTGTTTCATTGCATGCTTCATCATGTTCATGTCAGCAGATGTTGTCATACTTTGCCGTATGTTTTTGGAAAGGTTACCATGGCAATAGCTGATGACAGTGACCATTTCTGGCAGAGTTATCCTGATGTTTGGATCATGATTCCAACAGGATATTACACTACAATCTAATAAAGATGATCAATGAGAAACTGCATTTAAACCATATACTTATGTGTAAATCTAATTCATAAATATAATAATTATTATTCACCAATCATGGTGACTATAGCAACATGTCACATATATCTACCATGAACTCTAGCACAGTCAGTATTTGAAATCACCTGGTCAGGCAATAGAAAATCTAGATAATCTTCTTTTAATATTTATGGTGACTGTATACAAATTTAGTAATATGGACAGAAATTCAGGAACCCATGACCTATGATAGTTTTAGTTTGTGAAAAAAATCTGATTATGACTGTACAACTGAGTAATTCTATATATACTAGGAGGATCTGCATTTTTTTATTTGGCTGAATTATGCCATGAGTTTCCCGTTGATATCATCAAGATATTTATTTGAATAACAAGTTCTGTCCAAATTATGATGATGAATGTGTAGATGCTGTTATTGATACTAAGTTATCAACATGGTTTTGTTACTCCAAGTTGGATTTGACGTGTAGCCTCTTTACATGACGTATTAGATCTCAAGGTCGCTCATATGGCTACCACTGGTGCATTCTGGGATGTGAATAAGTTAATGTTGGTTTGACACCCTCATCAAGGATGATGATGCTGTAAACAGAGTTTCCTCGGTATCTGATTTTTCAAAGTTTTGTTTTCTTTGTAAAAAATGTTCGATAACAATGCCAAGTCAGGGCCCACATTGTCATCAACTGCAGTTCAGACCACAGATGACATGATTCAGTGAAAGCTAATACCAAGAGATTTTGTATCAGGTTTCACACCCTAACTGTTCATAAGAAACCTGAAAATAATGGTCTCAAAATTTGGGTTGGTTCATCCTTCCATGGAATAACTGAATGTTTTACTAAAACATTATTCCGCCTCTAACAAAGACTTCCTCCCCTTGTCAACTCATATTTCAGTGGTTCAGTTTAAACATTACTCAACCTGCCACCTAGAACCTTAGCTTTCCTCCGATCTTAAGAGGGCGGTGGCATTACCTAGTGGTGAAAGCGTTCGCTCGCTCGCACGAAGACCTGAGTTCGATTCCCCACATGGGTACAATGTGTGAAGCCCATTTCTGGTGTCCCCCGCCGTAATATTGCTGGAATATTAGAAAAAGCAGCACAAAACTAAACTCACTCACTCACTCCTATTTTAAGTTGACATGCCATGATAAACCTGAGTAATGTCCAAAGAAAACTGCTTTCTGGGTCCCCAACTGTTGGTTGGATCATCTGTCGTCATCCTTGATGGTAATAAAATCCATATCAGATCATTTCAAAGTGCTATGTATATTTCCTACATGTATATAGGAGTTCATTCATGATGTATGTATACATTTCCTCTAATCTATGACTAACATTATCAAGTTACATGTATATTCATTTCTTAATTATTCATTTTAAAGGCACAGTGTCACACATTTTGACAATATTTTGGCCTATAGTTTATATGTCTGGGCATATGCACTCACTTTAGCACTCAACTGTCACACGCGGTGTTTACCGAATTGGTTTCCATCACAAGATGTGCATAGGATATTCTTAAGGAGAGCTCCACGGGACATTTCCGGGGTTCAACGTGGCTTACTTGAAATAATGTTTGGGGTTCAACGGGGCTCACTTGAAATAATGTCTGGCCGGTAGAGGGTGCAAGAGTCAATTTAATGCAACATTGCATTTATTCATTCGAACTTTTTAATTTAATATTGTAATCTAAATACATTTTTCTTTGAATAAATTATATGGTAGCTTCGCTGGGGGCTGATAGTTAGTATTATTGAGAGAAATGCATTATGTATTTTTAGAGAAGTGTGGTGTGGCCAGGGTTGGGTACAGCTTTGTGAGAAAGGGGACTGGGGTGGGGGTTTGAATCCCCCACTCCCGATCCGCCTATGGTTGTGACATTGTGCCTTTAAGCATATAATTACATGTAATAAGTAATTAGTATTTGCAATTTGTGTTTTCCTTGTAGTGATTGAGGTTTGGTCATTTAACGGGATATCTTCAGTTTGAAATGTTTAGTTGAATGTAAATATATGAAACTGTACTCAAAGCTGTGTGTTCGGTAGTGTAATTCAGGATTCTTATTGTTTTTGTTAATTTTGTTGATCACATTTCATTTCTGCACGTTTTTAAATCAAGTTCTTATTGTGTTGTTATATGTAACAAAATATTGAGTTAACATTTAGAGAAAAGATGATTTATTTAACAAAGTATGTCAACATGGAAGAGTGTTAGCATAAATTATCTAAAACTTTAGTATACATCACCTGTAGCCATCATTGTAAGAGGTGACCGAAGTGGAATCGGATGGCACACTCCATAACACAATCTTAGTACTACAACGATTGTAATATTTGTACTCATAATGGACTCAAACCATTAGGTTAATATCCCTTTTGAACTGTGGCCCTTGCTTTGGTTCCACATTCCCATCTTATCTTAATGACTGTCACAAGTTAATGTTGAAAGTATGGAAACATCTTAGTGGAATGACCAGTTTGTGGAATGTGACCTTCATGGTTTTTATGCCGTTGGGTGAATAACAGTCACTCGCTCTCCAGATTATGCACTTATGTCACTTATGATCGTACATACAAATTGCAGGGCTGTTAACCAATACGCAAGCCGTCCACAGAAGTACCAAAACTGTAAGTTTGGTACCACAAGGCATTAGACAAGAAAATGTGATTGCTCTCCAAGTTGTGTATTCATGGGTTGTATATCTCAAAGAATCTAATTGGATGACATTATTTTTTATGGTACGAAGTTTCTTGGGTTAGTTTTGAAGGTAAAATGCAAAGTTGAAGCTGTTTATAATGGAAGATAGTTACTGTCCATGGGCTAACAAACATTTGCTAGGGACAGAGAACAATTTGTCCTTTGTAGATGATTTGCATACAGTAGAATGTCTCAAAATGTTTGATGTTTCTGATTTAAAACAAAAAAATCCAGTTTTAAAGAAATTAAAGACAATGTGGCATAAGTTGTCAATATCCTCAAGAAAATAAACAAGCAATTGGAACATCACACACCCCAATCTTTGTTTAGCAGCCATGATGGTTGGTTGGTAACTATTCATTTCAGTCTTTGTTTAGATTTTCAAATCAAGCCAATAGATCAGGGATAACAAATGGATACATATTCATATCTATATTTTATATATTTTTCTTCAAGATATGGCTGAACTATTGCCCTTGTGACATATCACTATTATATTTTTCTGTTGGATTATTTTGGGTGTGGTCAAACTAAGAAATTTAAGAAATAAGTGCAAAGGCATCAATTTGTACCTTATGACAAAAATAGACATCAAACTATCATGACTGAATAATTCCAGTACTTCTTTTATTTCTTAATTTTACTGAGACATGTTGGAATTTTTCATTTCAAATAAATTTGAGACATACTGACATATATTGAAGATCACCTCATTATAGAAATATTAGGACATCAGGCAGAAACATTAAAACATGGAAAAATAACACTGTATGTTAAGATATTTGTTTTGTAAAATGTAGATATTTCATCCCTGTGAAGAGTTTTAATGCACAGTTTGCACTTCACTGTAGAAAAGATTCGAGTCACATTTTTAATTTTTCTCGTCAAAATTGGTAGATATTTTACTTTTTCGTTTGATTTGTAGAAATGTTTGGAATATATTGTTATATCAGCACAGTAAGCTTTCACCAGGTATGTATTTGTAGAATATTTTGTCTCGGCAGCTTTTGCAATACTAGTCAAGTGCTTGTATTATTAATGAATTCATGATGCACGGTTATAGGTCACATTTGTTGCCGAGAAACATGAATTAGAGACTTTGATTGGTTAAAAGACACCACATTATCTAGATATATTCTGATAAGAATTCACAGTGCATTAATTTGTACATATCATTGTAGTATTTCACTACATCACCTTAGTGCTTTGAATTTACAGGTTTTTACTGTAAAACTCCGTTCAGATCTTCCATCAGACTTTATCTGATTATTTCAAGTGAAGATCTGTCAACATAAGTGCTTATAGTGACGTGCTCATTTATGCTTATCTATTTATTCCAAGATACACATGCATTAATTAACTTATTGTTGATTATATGTATCAGGTATACAATAAATAACTAAGATGTTACTGGTTTTAACAAAAGGGTCTTCATCCTAAGAAGCGTTGAGGGTATGACCAGGATCTGCTGATATTTGGAATGAATCCCAGATTGTTAAGGATCCTTGGTCTGTCAGCTCCAGATCCATGTGTAGGTTTTTGTCAAAATTGTTAATTTATTTTCCAAAACTTGCATCCACAAAAGACATCACTTAGTGAGAGATATGCTGCAAAGATTTGTATCCCAGTGCTTGGCAGCCCATTGTGACATCATCAGTTACTATGATGTCACAATCAAATGACATCAGTAATCTCTGTAACACATAATCTGTACTATGTACACTCAAGGAAAAGAATACTAATGTTTATATACAAAAACTTGAAGCCTGATTTTTGGATGATAAATAGACCCTCACATTGTGACTTCCAAGTTGAAATATTTCACGACACCTTGATAAAATAGAAAGTGTCCTGGGGAAACCTCCGACAATTAAGTTTTATCAACTTGCCTTGATATATTTTACCTCAGAAGATGGGTAAGATTCTCTATGTCTGCAATCTATGTCCTTTGGGCTGTCATTCAATATCTAACTGGCTTACCTGTAAAATAAAAATACTCATTCTATTTGGACCCATCACTGGAAACAAATATTCTTTTTATTTAAAATACTGTCTTTACCCCTGGATAAGATGTAACTTTCTAACTGAACGATACACCATGATCATATGCCAACCTTTCGCTACCCATGCTATCCATTCACTTCAAGCAAAGTAAATGCAAACAGGTGACTTTGTTACCATGACTGTATTTATTGTTAATAATTAAAGAGTTAAATCTGTTCAGTAGTCTGGCCTGTTACCATGGCTACATGTTTAAACTAGTATCTACAACGCAGCACATAGCAAAGTGTTAGTGTGATGAAATAAATCCAGCTGAAGTGCTTTAATGTATATTTAAAACAAGGGAGTTAAATAAAACAAGTAAATTAAAATTTAAATTAATGTAGGGACTATAGTTAGTTTCTAGAATCATGAGGGATTCTATGCTAATTGTAAACTGCCTTATTCCATGCCCCTAAATATATTGCTCAGTTTTTTTCTATGCAGTTTCAAATGCTTTACCAAAGTGTCAAAGTTCAGGATTTACTAATTTACCCTGTATGCCAAAATGCCATCACTAGTAACGTATAGTTTCAGAATTTAATTTTAAGCACATTCTTCAGATTCTGTTCATGAAAAATGGTTAGTTTTTGGTAGCTTAGAGAGATGGTCTAACAAACTGACAGTGGATGCGTAAGACCTTCATATCAATTTAACATTAGAAATTTCGATGCAAAGTTGTTTATATACAAATTATAAATATTGTGATGACATCCACATTTTTTAACATTTAAACTATTTTAGGGTCATCAATTTGTTCAGGAAAATTCAAGGGTATCTTCTTGCTTTGTTGAAGCTGGTGATAATATTCAAAATATTTCTTCATAATCATGCTTTCTGACTCATGTGGTTTCTTTCAAGTTCAACATCAGGTAGATTTGGAGAAATATTGAATGAAGTATGACAAAGGTTTTATTCAATTAGTAGTCGATTATCCTCAATGCCAAAGAGGCCGAAGATGCCAACCCTTTGCCTGCTTTGAGAATGATCTTGGAGCTTTACGATGTCAATACGGCAGTACTGTACATAGTAATATTTCTGTTACATAATTAAATTGTTGTCTTTTTTTATCTATTGTCCCTCTTTTTTGAAACACAAACATGTCAAAACTTTGTCTTATGATCTGAATACGATGAAATGATTGTAAATTGTAATATAAATTAGTTTTGTCAAACAGTAGATTTCTTTTAATATTTTTCAGGCATCGTAGAAATGTCATGTAATTGTGAAAGAATTTATGTAATATCCAGAATGTTTTGTCCAATACTAGAATACTTTTTATTATTTTCTTTCTTTTGGAAACAAAAGCTTAACAGAAAATTGTGTTATAATTTGAAAGGATAAGTGTAATGTCACAATGTGTATATAATTATGTATAAATGTTTGATAATGGAAACGGAATTATTCAAGTTATAAAATATCTGTGATTGAGATATTCTCAGCGATAAGTGATATAGCAGGCCACCTGCTCGTGTACCTGAATATACAGTGTTATTATTAACATGACTAAGAATGACATCATTCCATGGCTAGTTTATCATTCTTCAAGTTTTGTCAGCCTCAGTTTGCTACACAAGAAATAAATCTATCTTGTCCTTGTTCTGTAAATAAACGTTTTGTTGTATACATTTCCACATGTTCAGCAATGTCATATTTTCTATGTTGTTAAGATGTGAAACTTTCGCTGTCATTGTTGCAATGGTCAATATTTTCCTGTTTTCAGTTTATACGATTTACAGATACAAATTACAGCTACTGTCATTAATAATGACAAATGGAAAGATGTGGTGTTAGTTCTGACAAATTAGGTCACATCTATTTTTCTAAAGAAATAAATGTGTGCCAGAAGGGGTATTATGCGACTCTATGACTGAAATTAACTAATCTTGTCAAACTGAGATTGTCTACAACCCTTGCCTTTTCAAGATCATTTACCATGACTTGATCGTGATGCAGCCACATGTAAGGACGTGAGTTGTGTCCCTTGTGATGAAAACATTATATCCAATCAGATTGCTGTTTTTATTTCAAATAGAACATGGAGTTGGGGTCGTGTGAAAATAGTGTTGCTTCTCAGTCACTGACAGCTCAGTTGTTTGAAATACAATACAGTGATGATTCTACTCAAATATGTAAAAGTACTTGAGCAAGTCAATTGAACTCTTAGAACAACTCTGAAAATGTTGTCTTTCCTTAATTGTTAGAATAATATATAAAAATAATATTTTCAGAATATGGATGCTGATTGTGTAAAATCTCATCTGATCGATGTGTGTTAATCCTGTTTTTGAAAAGTCAGCTTGAAAGGCATGAGTGAAAACTTGATTTTATTAATAGGCTAGTGGACATGTTTGCCTCGGTAATATACATGTAACTATGGTAACCAGTTTCTAACCCATGCAACATCAGTTTGATAAAAGAATTGGGAGTATAACTGTATTTGAAGTGCACATATTTCATCATTCATTTGGTTGTATGACTAGTTTTGTACATACACTTGACTAAAAAAACACTTGTCAACAATGTCACAGAGTGGAAGCTAACATCAGAAGAAAGAAACATGTTTTCTGATACCTTGGTAAAACACAGTTGATTTTTAAATAGGCTTTCATAAACTGATGATATTTGTGATTATTGTTTTATCAACAACAAACCTGAATTCAAGTGCAGTTGAGGGGATTGCTTGTTTTGATAAGCGATTTCGATTCATGCCAGCTGTTAGACACTTAGGCCCCTATATTCTCTGAGGCACTGGCAGCCTTGATCTGTTGGTTGATACAATTAGAAGTACATGCCCTGTATGTTGGCTTCAATCCCCATTCATCTTGATTCTGATCCTTGTTTTGCAGTGCCAAAGGTTGCCTCCGTGTCATATACAAACACGACCTTTGTCAACAGGTATTCCTCCCAGAAGCTCACACATTGACAAAAGTACACTTCATTAAATAGTTTCAGATTAAGTATTAAAGGCTGTTCTACTGCTTCAACCTCACTGTCATGCATGGCGCCTTTGCCAGTTTGAGATCTGCATTAATATACTGAAGGAATAAAATAAGGTGCCACAGGCAATGTTGCTGGATGCTACTGCTTTGTGTTCCATATTTTCATGACAATAAGATTTTACATTTTCTTTTAAATAGTGATGCAGGAGAATTTAATTTATTCATATTTTATTATATCTTAATTATCTTGAAACAAACTACAAGACATCTGATTAACTTTCAATGGATACACCAGAAGAATATGTTTTGGGCAGGACTTGTGGACATGGGATGTGTTCACCAGTTTCTGTTAATATCCTACTTAAAGCAAGTTAAAGATCACCCACAATTGGAAGGCCACATTGTGCAATTCCTAGCCACAACACCTTAGCTACAGTAGTATTTGAAAATAAGATGTTAACTTCTTTTCTGTACCTGTGGACCTGTGAAGATCCAGGTTAGAATTGATCCTCAGTTACCCATGCTTGTCGTGAAAGGCGACTAATGGGATCAGGTGGTCAGACTCGCTGATTTGGTTGACACATGTCATCCTATCCCAATTGTGTAGATAGATGCTCATGCTGTTGATCATTGGATTGTCTGGTCCAGACTCAATTATTTACAGACTGCCGCCATAAAGCTGGAATATTGCTGAGTGTGGTGTAAAACTAAACTCACTCTCTATAGTACCTGTAACTTCAGTGTGTACAGTTTATGAAACACTTGCTTTGTTATCATGTTACCTTATTTATTGCCATCAGTATATGTTGAATGTCTCATCATAAGATGTGTTCAGTTCTCAAGACACAACATTAGTGCTTTTGCTGATGGAGCCTGCATCTGACAAGTTTTTTCTTGAAAATGTCCTTTACTTGAAAACATGCTTTTAGAACCTCCATTATACAAGACGAGCATAACCAAGAGCAGCTAATGATATACAAATATTGTCCTTTCATTCCTCACACAAAACATCACCCTCAAAATGCAATAATCTCGGCAAAAGTATAATTTTTACTCCCTATTTCTGTATATCAGTTTTCAGGTAAACATTCTTCAACAATCTTCTCAGTTCTTTGGAAATGGAGTATGGCTGTGATAGCTTGAAGGTAAATACTTAGATGATAGGTTCATAATTTATACAGGTGTGGTGGGGTAGCCTAGTGGTTAAAGCGTTCACCCATGACGACGAACACCTGGGTTCGATTCCCAACACGTGTGCAGTGTGTGAAGCCCATTTTTGGTGTCCCCAGCCATGATATTGCGAAGTGCTAAATGTGGCATAAAACTAAACCCACTCATAATTTATACCATTTATGGGATGATCTTAAACTTTCAAAGAAACTGAAAAAATGTTAATAAACCGGTACAAATAAAACAACTGAACCAACTATCACTTTGCAAGAAATCAGGATGAGGATCGTCATTGAATAAAAATAAAAAGAACACTTTTAAGAACAGATCGTTTCTATGGTTGGAATAACTGGGGATAATAGAACGCTAACCAAATGCCACTTTAGTATGTTGTCATGTAATTGATTAGTGGAAGGGAGCAACTGGGAATACTTATTACACAAACTACACTGTTAGTTCTGAATATTGTCATGAGATCAGTTGACTGGAATAGTGTGGGAGAAACACGAAAGTTGTCCAGCCTTTGATGATTGGAAGGAAGGGCAGTGAGCAACGCTCAAGTGAACTCTGTGTTTGTTATGGAAATGATATTGTATCTCTGGTTTTCATTTGAAGTGGTGATTTTTTATGAGTATGATGTTGATGTTGATTTCATCTGGAAATGCTCTTCATTTTGCATTTATGCCTCTGTATATTGTTGTGAAATTTTCACAACGTAGGAGCTTGTTATTTCAGAGTGGGAAATAAATGGATTTCAATACCATCACTTTGTTATATTGCCATAATTTTTTGTTGGAGTGTGAGTGAGTGAGTGAGTGAGTTTATTTTTATGTCGCTTTTAGCAACATTCCAGCAATATCACTGCAGGGGACACCAGAAATGGGCTTCACACATTGTGCCCATGTGAGGAATCGAACTCAGTGTTACAGGCCAAACCTTCCCCGGGTCCTTCAGCGTGACGAGGGAACGCTTTAACCACTTGGCTACCCGGTACCCCACCGCCATATTTGTTTTGTTTGATCGTGCAGTGACTCTGGCGGGGATTCTGTGTGTTAATTAATGCCACACTCAGCAATATTCAAGCTATATGTAAGCAGTCTGTAAATGCTCAAATCTGGACTAGACAATCTGCTATTTGACATCAAGCACATTTGTCTTTGATGTCATACATCAACAGAGTCAGCAAGCCTGACCATCCGATCCTGATAATCATCTCTTACAACAAACATGGATTCCTGAAGACCAAGCCTAACCTGACCTTCACCTTTCTTAGGCACCATGACAAGTATGAATTGCTGAACCCGATCTCCACAAGTTTAGTGAGCGAGTATGGTCTTATGCCGCTTTTAGCAATATTCCAGCAATGTCATGGTTGGGGACACCAGAAATGGGCTTCACACATTCTACCCATGTGGGGAATCGAACCTGGGTCTTTGGCGTGATGAGCAAACGATTTAACCACTAGGCTCCTCCTCAACAGGTTTAGGACTCCAGGGCAGATTACAGGTCAAACAGCTTATGCTTGTCAAAGAGGCAAGGAAGTGGCTCAATGGTTAGCTTGATTGTATGTCATCATTCCTGATGTTGTGGTCTGATGCTCAGTGTGTGCTCCATTGAACAAGGGGCGGTGGGGTAGCCTAGTGGTTAAAGCGTTGGCTTGTCACGCTGAAGACCCGGGTTCGAATCCCCACAAATGTACAACAATGTACGAAGCCCATTTCTGGTGTCCCCCGCCGTGATGTTGCTGGAATATTGCTAAAAGCGTGTAAAAACCAAACTCAGTCAGTCAGTCTGTCCATTGAGCAAACAAAACAAAGGTATAAATGGGGATTGGTACATTGAGAGGTGCCTTCTCTGACAGCCTGTGACTGATCCAGCTACAGCTCTGTTGCTTCAGTCAGCAGTATTCCAGCTATATCATGGTTGCCTGTAGATGGCCAAATCATGGTCAGGCAATCCAGTTGATATCATGATCCTATGCTATTAGGATATGAGTGAGTGAGTTTAGTTTACGCAGCACTCAGCAATATTCCAGCTATATGGCGGCAGTCTGTAAATAATCGAGTCTGGACCAGACAATCCAGTGATCAACAGCATGAGCATCGATCTATGCAACTGGGATACGATGACATGTGTCAACCAAGTCAGCGAGCCTGACCAACTGATCCCGTTAGTCACCTCTTACGACAAGCATGGGTTACTGAAGATCAATTCTAACCCGGATCTTCACGGGTCGCTATTAGGATATGGTGACATGCAATCAACATGGTGTTTGTCGGCAGCTAATGTGTAACTGAACTATTTCTGTTTGCTAATTGTTTAAAGCCATACTCTGCTATTTTCCAGCTGTATGAGTGAGTGAGTTTAATTTTACGCCACACTCGGCAATACTCCAGCTATATGGCCGTGGTCTGTAGATAATCAGCTTTGAACCAGACAATCCAGTGATCAACATCATGAGCATCTATCTACACAATTTGGATACAATGATGTGTCAACCAAGTGAGCAAGCTTGACCACCCAATCCTGTTACTCGCCTCTTACAACAAGCATGGGTTGCTGAAAACATGCAATGTAAACAGGGCTACTGTGTTTTCAACATCTCATGTGAAACCTCCAAGCAGAGGTGAGGTGAGGTGAAATTGGGTTTAACGTCGTGCTTGAGAATATTTCACTCATATGCGTATGTGCGGCTGTTTGTACCAGCCAAGACTGAAGCTGGTTTTATAGTGCTAGCCCACTGAGATACCATGCTGCAGTGAAGCATGAATACCCCACTCAGACACATTATACTGACTCCGAGCTGACCAGTCCTTGTTGTACCCATTAATGCTGAGCACCAGACAGGTACCCAACAAGTACCATATTTTACCGTCTTTTGGTATGACGCGGTCGGGGATCGACCCCGCGACCTTCCGCTCTCCGGGCGAAGGCTCTAACCACTACACCACGGAGGCGGTCACCTCCAAGCAGAACAGGCCAATGGTAAGTGTGAGAGATACCTATTTCCTACAGAATTCTGGTCACCATCATACCATCCGGGGCCTATTCTGAAATATTCATGCTGTTGCATGGATTTGTCTGTAGTTCATGTTTGCTTTTTTATTGTGACTGTTCAATGTTGCAAATATTCCAGAAAATAGGGGCTGTGGGGTAGTGTCGTGTCTTCACCATAATCGACCATAGTCGATGACAGAACAATGTACATTGACGTGACAGCAGACATGTTTATTCCAAGGGGTTACATGCAGGGGGGCCCCCAAGGGACGTCACTCTGGTTGGTAACTTCTGTCACAGTGACGAGGCTTACGGAGTTGTCTCCCTTATACCGTTGCTAGTAAAGTCTTAAGTGTCCATAAACTACAGGTAGCCTAGTGGTTAAAGTGTCCATCGTCAAGCTAAGGACCCAGGTTCAATTCCCCACAGGGGTACAATGTGTGAAGCCCATTTCCGGTGTCCCCTGCCGCGATATTGCTGGAATATTGCTTAAAGTGGCGTAAAATTATACTCACTCACTCACTCCAGAAAATAGGGCAAGCAGACCATAGCAGGTCTGTTTCGGTTTGAAAGTCAGTTGAAATAATAACAAAATAAACTCCATATCTAAAAGGTTTAATGAAAAAAGACATAGTATACTATGTTACAAGTAGACAGTTGTACATGAAATCCACCCCTACAACACTAACGCACTTCATCTCGAAAAATTTAACTTGAATGAGAAACTTCCCAACATGAATATCTGACAGCATTTCCAAAGAAATACCTTGTGAAGCCTGAACAAACTATAACCGCCTTAATGATGGTGGAGTCTTGACCCAAGCAGATGTCTGCTTTATAAAACAATTCAGCTACAAGTCCTTACAAACTCAATTTCGAATGCAAATGCCTTTCAGAACGTGGTCAAATGTAACCTGTCCTATTTGGGACAGCACTTTGGTTTTAGTGTACAGATTGTAGTGACCACATGATGAGTATGGCACAGAGAAACCATGAAATATAATCAAGGTGACTTGGGATTTAAACCCAAGATGATGGCACAGATGGAATTTGTTTTCCCGCATCAAGAAATGAAATACAGAGAGGAAATCAGCTGATTAAGTACGATGATAAAGTCACAATACAGTTTTCAACTTAAACATTTAACAAAGTAGATTGTATAAATTATTAAAATGATGTATATGAATAATGTATAAATTACTAAAATGATGTATATGAATAATGACAGCGTCATGTTCTACAATTCAACCCCCAAAATATGTAGAAGCTGATTCATCTGAACCATCTTTGGATATATATTAAAAACCTATTAAAAACAATGTTATTATTCTATAAACAATATTATTATATTATTATTATAAAAGTGTAAATATTGCCACCCAAAACAGCAAAAAGCAATAAAAATCCAATTTTTTGATATACAGGCTCTATAAACAATATTATATTATTATTATTATAAAAGTGTAAACACTATTGCCACCCAAAACAAGTCATGATTGAATTTATCAATAAAATCCAAGAAATCACTTCATTCATCCTTTAAAGATGTGGTTCAAAGTCCCTCATGAACTATACAGGCTTAACTCTCATTAACTATTAAACTTGTCCTGTTCAGTAAATGGTGTACAGATATCAGCTTATATATACCAGCAACAGATATAAACATTTTAGCCCACTAGTCCTTATAATAAAACCAATATCTTATGGTCAAACCCTTAGAAATGTGAAATGTGTAGTCCTTATGATACCTAACAACTGGACAGCTTGACAAGGACAAGATTAGTGCCAATTTGTTGCCATTTCTCATGTGTAATTAACACATACATAAACAATGCTTATAATGAACACACACACATGCAACGAATTGACAGGCAAAACAAACTGCTGTATATTTTAGGTGAGGTGAGGTGAAATTGGGTTTATCGTCATGCTTGAGAATATTTCGCTCATATGGCGACGTGCATGCGTGTGTATGTGTATGTGCGGCTGCTTGTACTAGCCCAGACTGGTTTTATAGTGCTAGCCCACTGAGATACCATGCCGCAGTGAAGCATGAATATCCCACTCAGACACATTATACTGACTCCGAGCCGACCAGTCCTTGTTGTACCCATTAACGCCGATCGCCAGGCAGGGACCAACAAGTACCATATTTTAACCTTTTTGGTATAACGCGGTCGGGGATTGAACCCGCGACCTTCCGCTCTCCGGGCGGACGCTCTAACCACTACACCACGGAGGCGGTTCGTATATTTTAGTCAAAATGCATATAACAAACAGAAGTTATAACATTTAAATTAAGTGGGTCTTTGAGATTGTTATCAGCATAGTTTACTATAGATATAACCTCACCTAAACAGCACTGTTGTTTTACTGCTGGCTTACATTCTTATTGCCAAACTCTTGTGGTGTAAGCAACCAATTTAATGAACATCAGATATGTTACACTGAAACCATCTCATCCTGCAGTTGTGTGCTTCCTACTTCAGAGTAAAAGAGTCTAAACAGTTTATTGGAGAAATGATCTACATAATTAGGATACAATGACATGTATCTACCAATTCAGCATTTCTGGGTCCCGTTTCACAAAGCAATTGTAGCCCTACGACTGTCATAATTCTATGTTAAAGTACGATCACCTTAGCGGTACGATCGCTTTGTGAAACAGGGCCCTGACCACCAAACTCCTTTAGATGTGTCTTGCAACAAGCTTGAGTTGCTGAAGACCAATTATACCCAAGGGCCCCATTTCACAAAGCTATCATAGCGCTATGACTGTCGTATCTTCTATACTGTAACACAGATTTACGCAGTCGTAGCGCTACCATAGCTTTGTGAAACAAGGCCCAGATCCACACGTAGGTACGATGACAGCCCCTCAGCCAAGTCACCAAGCTTGACCATCTCTGGCACCCATTCCTACCAGCATAGGTTGCTTGGGACCTGGGTGTGCCATTGTGCAAAGCAGTCTAAGCCTTAAGGTGATCTTAAGTCCCATACCTTAACATAAACTTACGACATTCGTAGTGCAGTGTGTCGTACAACAACAACCCGTCCTACCCACCTGTGAGATAAATGACTGACTGACTGAGTTTAGTTTTACGCCGCTTTTAGCAATATTCCAGCAATATCACGGCGGGGGACACCAGAAATGGGCTTAACACATTGTGCCCATGTGGGGAATCGAACCGGGTCTTGGCGTGTGAGCTTTAACCACTAAATGAATACACAATATGGTACAGGCATTACTCTTCTTAATTACTTCTACAACAAAAGTAACAGTGAGTGAGAACGTGAGTAAAATTACATGGAACAGTATTTCATTGGAATCTCTGCACATCTGCTTGATGGAGGAGGAAAACATGAAATGAGGTGTTAGATCTTACAAGCACAAGGGACGACCGACCTGAAAACAAAACAAACAAATGTTGGAACCCAACACCACTCAGATTTCTACAATATAACACTACACAGCAAACTACACATCTTCAACAACTAATGGCCATATAAGGTTACCGTAAATGCTACAAAGTACCTACCAGACAGACCTAGACAAGGATCACATCTGGGTATGAGTAAACATGCACATGTAAACTCCCTGTTATGCCAAACCAACACAATAATGCCTTATGGTTGTCATGATGAAAGGATGCATCTGAAGAAAACATTCAGAGTTCATTTCAGCATGATTGTACCCGTTCTGAATAAAAATAGAATTTTAAATCCAGAAAACAAGAAACTAAATAGGCTTGGTTTGATATCTGTTAATCACAAAACTGACACAACACTACTGACTTAAATACATTCTCCACATGAAACATGAAACGTATTGAGTGGCAGTTTCAGGTTGTATTCAGTGCCTTACAAAAACTGACATACCATATTTCCCCTAATAAGCCAAGTCTCTAATAAGCGCCAGCCTCCAATAAGCGTGTTCAAGAAATAAGCACCAGGTGTGCCACATGTTTACAATGGTGTTTCAAATAATATACCAATGGAGAATCTATATTTATTCCATTGAAACATTAAGCACTGGGTCTTGAGAGTTTCTGAATTAATAAGCGCGCGGTCACTTATTAGAGGAATACGACAGTCCATTCTTGGAATATTTGCACGATACTCCCTCATCAGAAAATTATTTTGACAAATGTATGTTTGTGTTGGTCTATGATTGCCGGCTGCATTGCTGCTTGTTGGAGTAAGGTCACACAGAGTGTTAATAAAGCAGTTCCTGCACAGGACAGTACCTGCAGACATCGGCTGTTTAATCAAAAGCGTAATCTTTGACATCCAGCAGTTTCTTCTTTATGATGCAGTCATACAAATACTCTTCCTTCACAATGGGAACCTGCAACACATACAGAGAAATATGTTACATACAAACACAGTAACACAAACCTGAATTAAGATTTCTTTTTCATCCACGGGTGTGAAAAATAATCTCTGCAGCCTTTATGCGGTACAACGACCAGTTCCTTGAAGTGAGTGTGGCAGTGAGTGAGTATGGTTTTACACCACTTTTAGCAATATTCCAGCAATATCATGGCAGGGACACCAGAACTCACTCACTCACATGTAATTGTAATCCATAATTCTTATAAAACCTCACTGAAACAATCTTGTGTTTGTGGCTGCAGTCGGCAAGTCACATGACGAGTGAACACTTTAACCACTAGGCTAACCCACCGCCCCAACAAGCAACAAAGAAGACCCTTCCGGCGTTGTCTACACACTCAATGCGAATGTCGTGACTCATACGTGGGTGAAACGTCCCGACCCTAAACACGAGAATCAACGACATCTGTGCAATAAAAGACTCCAAATCAGCCATTTCTGACTACACCCAAGCCCATCCAAATCATACCATTCTGTGGACCAACATCAACACCCTAGAAGCACACCGGTCAGACAACGAGATAAGAAAAATCTTAGAGGCAATAAACATCAAATGACTCAACCCAACAATGAAGACAAGGTTACTACATCCCTACATCTTACCGTCATCTAATCAAGGCCAATCAAGAATAACACTTCCCTACCCTTTGTCCATCTGGCTTCATACCATCACCCGGGCGGTGGATTAGCCTAGTGGTTAATGTTCGTAGTCACTAAGACTGACATGCCGAAGACCAATATTCCAACAATGGGCAAATGTTGAAGTACCCATTGGGTGGTGTCCCTCACATGGGCACGTGATATTGCTGGAATATTGCTAAAATATTGCTAAAAGCGGTAAAAACTAAACTCACTCACTCATACCATTATCTATTATCACAACTAGCGTCTATAATGTCATCACAACGTACATCAACCTCTTCAATTGTATAAACCCAAATACCCTTCGTGTATATATTCTCCTTGTGCATAAAGTTGTGCACCACTTGCTTGATAGCGGTGTTAGCATCTACACCAAAATGTCACATCCATGCAATAAAGAAGTTGTCTATCTATACTGAGTCAAAAGAAACTTCACTTTCTTTCTTCAGGGCACTATAAAAAGAACAAAGAGATGGTAAGATGGCTAAATTGTTATTTTTTCATTGCTGAGATCTGTGTGATGTACTTTCGATACACTGACAGTGCCATAATCAGTTCCATTAGGCTACAATGCCGTTCTTAAACATGGGCATACAGAATGTCAAGTCACAAGAATAAAAATCGCGAAATGTCTCAGTTCAATATCGTTGTATTCACCACTGCCAAACACCGTCTCCTCATCGACTGCCTGATGCTTGTGAACACGTGGTGGGGATTCTCGCCATTGCTCTTGCAAGGCAGCCAAGTACCTGCAAATTCTGAGGTTGGTTCCTAAGGCCACGGCCTTCTCCCAAGTGCATCCAAAGCGTGCTCTCCATTGGATTAAGGTCAGGACCTCGAAGGAAATTTCGTGGGTCAACATCGCAGTATCGCGCGCCGAGAGCATTATCATGCTGGAACTGTAGATCTGGGCCATGAGCAGCCATGAAAGGAACGAGTTCAGGGTGAGCACCTGGTCGCTGCGTAAGCAGCAGCTGTGAGGTTTCCACAGATGACCAGAAGTCGGAACGGTTGTTCCCACAGAAAGCACCCCACACCATGCAATTTCCCCAAATCTGTCGACTTCCTGTACACAACATTGGGCATACCGTTCCGCGGCGCCGTCTCCAGACTCTATGCCTGCCGTCCAGCGAATCTGAGGGTAAACCTGATTCATCGCTAAAGATGACTCGATTCCAGTCTCTCTGGGTCCATCGGAGGTGACGCTGGGCCCACAGCAGACGTTGACGTTGATGAAACGGCCAATATTAGCCCACGATATGGGCGCCGAGGGAATGGAGATTGGCAGCCCACAACTGATTTCGAATGGTCTGTGAAGACAGTCGACCTCTAAACATCTCAGCCCTGGTTCGTGTGGCGGCAGAAATCTGTCACATAGGTGATGCAGAAAGATTTGATGGTCTTCTGCTCGCGGCGCCACACGTGGACGGCACCCATCTTGGCGATCAGAAGTGGTGCCAGTTTGTTGTAGACAACCTCGCCAAGTCATACATAGTATGGCGGCTGCATTCCATTGCCTTTGGCGACATCAATAACTGATCTTCCTGCTTGCAACATGCCAACGCACGCTCACATTGCACATTTGACAATCGTGGGATTTCAAAGTACCATTAGAACTGTGGTTTAAAAGTGTTTTTCAATTCTTGAGGCCAAAGCAAACATGTATATGAAGCAAACTTCGATGCAAAGATCACGTGATCGACTGCACATGCAAAACCGGATTTGGCACTAACATCATTTGCACGCACCGAATGGATGGGCTTGAGTGGGTTTTGCTAACGCTTTTCTAGAGTCGAAAGATAGGGATCCCATTTCGGATACATAGATGTATCATCAGAGACCAATTATTCATTATTTTTCAAATTACATTTTGTGAAGTTTCTTTTTTGACTCAGTATATAAAATAAAGAGTTCCTCATCATCATACCAGCTTCTACAGTCTGTTTGATTTCATTTTGAGACCGATGAATATCTTACTGACACAAAATCTTATAACTGCAACAAAACAAAATTTTGAACAATCCCATGAAATCGACATAACAACTCTGATGATTTGTCTCATAATTTTGGAATTAAAAAAAAAAAATTATTCATTATTTAGCTAGTCACAGCAGCTGATACCGCACAAAAACTTGCATTATAACAAGAGAATTGGGACAGTTGTCTTGAAAAAAGGTTGGCATCACAGCAAGTTTTGACTTACATCCAGGGAATTTCAATGAGTGGAAATCTGTTCTAAAAAGTTATCTTGCTATAATCACAGGCATTACAAAACCAGGGTGCACTGTATTTCAGTAACCATGACAACCTGCAGTACTCACCTTCTTTGACTCTGCCTTCTTCACTTTAGTGGTCTTGGCAGAGAACTCTGTTTCTCCAGCCACAAGTAGCGTCATGTTTCCGATGGAGCCCAAGCCAGCTTTATGTTTGGCTACCAGAGCGCGTATGTTAGCCTGGGTGTCACACAAGGTGCCGGATATCAGGATGTTGTGGGATTTGAAACGACTGGAAAAAACCGGAAGAGTTTGATCATATCAGCCAGGCTGAGGACAATCTTAACTATTGAATAAAACACTCAGATGACATTTACTGCTTCATATTGGTGTAGGGCAGATTTGTGATTGCGTGGTTAATATATTTTGTAATGTGGCAGTGCTATTTGTTGTGTACCAAAATTCAAAGTGTTAACATTGTATATGTAGAGGGACAGTGGTGTGTCATATTTGGACTTGTGAGGCGAGGTGAGGGGCATGTAATAATGTATATGTACAAAATGTACTAGAATCGGTACTTTACTGAGAAAGTGTAATCCCAAACATTTGTTACATTTGACCACTTTCTAAATGTAACTGTGTATTCATGATACATATGTGTTTTGAGTTTTTATTAAGAAGGAATGGATGCGACACATGCCAAAAGTTTGTCAACTTTCTCAACTTGGCCTCAATAACGTGTGATGTTTCGGTATTTCAAGCGAGTCGCATTGAGCGAGCTGGAAACGTAAGGCACTAGAACTTATCATGCAAACGCAACCCATGTTATTTTTAGACGTGCTAGGCGGAAGTGATTTTTGTCGTCTGCTTTAGACGTCTGATCGCGGTAGGCACAATGGGTCATAGGGATAAAAATCTGTCAATCTGTGTGAAAACAAGCATCGTATCGCTAACTGAGATGGATTAAAACAGTCAGTGTTGGATATATATTTATATCATGACAGTGAAAATATAAATAACTCTGCTCGAAGCGGAAGACTGAAAGTCATTGGGATTTGTGGCCAGACAACATTATCAAGGATTGTTAAGAAAGGAAGGCGTAAACGTTTGTCTGACATTACTAGTGAATATAATACTTCAGTACCTGTACCTGCTTCAACTAGATCCATTCAGCGTGAATTACACCGTTTGGGCTATGATCGGAGGATTGTTTGTTAAAGCTAGGAATTTGTGAGGTAAATCGGAAAAAGCGTCTCCAATGCTGTAGAGGAAAATTACACTGGAATGTTGACCACCACTGGCGAAAAGTAATATTCAGTGATGAAATGACAATAGTTATCAAGCCAGATGGAAAATCAAAGTCTGGAGAAAAAAGTCTGAAAGCAGGCTTGGCCAGTACCTTGGTTACTTAGCAGACAAACCTGGTCACACTTTAAAGTTAATGATGTGGGGCTGCATAACGTACTATGGGACCGGTGCTTTAAAGTTTGTGGCTGGCAACATGAACAGTCAGAAGTATATTGACGGACTTGACAGGTGTTTGTGGCCAGTGATAACCAAACACTTCACCAATAAACAATGGATGTTCATGGATGACAATGCCACAATTCACCACTCTGCTGCTACAGAAACCTGGAAGCGAACAAAGGAAATTGCCCATTTTCCCCATTAAAGTCCAGATTTAAATCCAATTGAAAATGTGTGGCTTGTCCTGGAGAACACTGTGAAAAAACCCATTGCAAACGTGAGGACCACTGATGACCTCAAGGAGTGGCTTACGACTGCTTGGGAAAAACTGCCGATTGCATACATCCATTCGCTTTATTCTTCTCTTCCACGTCGCTGTCGACAAGTTCTAATATCAAAGGGTCACATCACCAAGTATTAACTTTATTGGACTACTGTAAGGTAAGATATTAATATTTAAAATTGGACTTAGCACTTAGGAGACGGCGCCATTTTGATAAAGTTGACAAACTTTTGGCATGTGAGTGTAGTTCTCTCTACTGTGATTCCCATTGAAGTGTGAACATTGAAACTAATTGAATTAAAGCAATTAAATAGGGTTTAAGTAATATTTCTGTATTCAAACCAAGTCATCATGCTCTATGCAGGGGATCTGTCAGATTGCATTCATGCAGTATCAGACCTTTGCCTAAAGGTTAATTCAGAAATGCAAATTAGCCAAGGGAATTTGGGTCTGGAATACCTTGATGCTTTCATTCCAGATGCTTTATAATACTTCTCTGTGACATCTTCTTCTTCATCTTCTTCTTCTTCTTCTTCTTCTTCTGCGTCACCGGTGACAGTGGACGACCCCTGAAAACACAGAGAAGCTAGACCTAAACACATGCAGAGAATCTTGACCCACATAGACATATATATATAGACAGACTCTCAACCCATGTAGATGTAGAGAATCTTCACCCATGTAGATGTGGAGAATCTTCACCCATGTAGATGTGGAGAATCTCCACCCATGTAGATGTAGAGAATCTCCACCCATGTAGATGCACAGAATCTCCACCCATGTAGATGCAAAGAATCTCCACCCATGTAGATGCAGAGAATCTCCACCCATATAGATGAAGAGAATCTCCACCCATGTAGATGCAGAGAATCTTCACCCATATAGAGAATCTCCACCCATATAGATGAAGAGAATCTTCACCCATGTAGATGTAGAGAATCTTCACCCATGTAGATGTAGAGAATCTCCACCCATGTAGATGCAGAGAATCTCCACCCATGTAGATGTAGAGAATCTCCACCCATGTAGATGCAGAGAATCTCCACCCATGTAGATGCAAAGAATCTCCACCCATGTAGATGCAGAGAATCTCCACCCATATAGATGAAGAGAATCTCCACCCATCTAGATGTAGAGAATCTTCACCAGAATCTTCACCTATATAGATGAAGAGAATCTCCACCCATGTAGATGCAGAGAATCTTCACCCATGTAGATGTAGAGAATCTCCACCCATGTATATGCAGAAAATCTCCACCCATGTAGATGTAGAGAATCTTCACCCATATAGAGAATCTCCACCTATATAGATGCAGAGAATCTCCACCCATGTAGATGCAGAGAATCTTCACCCATATAGAGAATCTCCACCCATATAGAAGAAGAGAATCTCCACCCATGTAGATTTAGAGAATCTCCACCCATATAGATGTAGAGAATCTCCACCCATGTAGATGCAGAGAATCTCCACCCATGTAGATGTAGAGAATTTCCACCCATGTAGATGCAGAGAATCTCCACCCATGTAGAGAATCTCCACCCATATAGATGCAGAGAATCTCCACCCATGTAGATGTAGAGAATCTCCACCCATATAGAATCTTGACCCACATAGACATATATATAGACAGACTCTCCACCCATAAAGATGAAGAGAATCTTCACCCATGTAGATGTAGAGAATCTTCACCCATGTAGATGTGGAGAATCTTCACCCATGTAGATGTGGAGAATCTCCACCCATGTAGATGTAGAGAATCTCCACCCATGTAGATGCACAGAATCTCCACCCATGTAGATGCAAAGAATCTCCACCCATGTAGATGCAGAGAATCTCCACCTATATAGATGAAGAGAATCTCCACCCATGTAGATGCAGAGAATCTTCACCCATATAGAGAATCTCCACCCATATAGATGAAGAGAATCTCCATCCATGTAGATGTAGAGAATCTTCACCCATGAAGATGTAGAGAATCTTCACCCATGTAGATGCAGAGAATCTCCACCCATGTAGATGTAGAGAATCTCCACCCATGTAGATGCAGAGAATCTCCACCCATGTAGATGCAAAGAATCTCCACCCATGCAGATGCAGAGAATCTCCACCCATATAGATGAAGAGAATCTCCACCCATGTAGATGTAGAGAATCTTCACCAGAATCTTCCACCTATATATGATGAGAAATCTCCACCCATGTAGATGCAGAGAATCTTCACCCATGTAGAGAATCTCCACCCATATAGATGAAGAGAATCTCCACCCATATAGATGCACAGAATCTCCACCCATGTAGATGCAGAGAATCTCCACCCATGTAGATGCAGAGAATCTCCACCCATGTAGAGAATCTCCACCCATATAGATGAAGAGAATCTTCACCCATGTAGATGTAGAGAATCTCCACCCATGTATATGCAGAAAATCTCCACCCATGTAGATGTAGAGAATCTTCACCCATATAGAGAATCTCCACCTATATAGATGCAGAGAATCTCCACCCATGTAGATGCAGAGAATCTTCACCCATATAGAGAATCTCCACCCATATAGAAGAAGAAAATCTTCACCCATGTAGATGTAGAGAATCTTCACCCATGAAGATGTGGAGAATCTCCACCCATGTAGATGTAGAGAATCTCCACCCATGTACATGTAGAGAATCTCCACCCATGTAGATGCAGAGAATCTCCACCCATGTAGATGCAAAGAAACTCCACCCATGTAGATGCAGAGAATCTCCACCCATATAGATGAAGAGAATCTCCACCCATGTAGATGTAGAGAATCTTCACCAGAATCTTCACCCATATAGATGAAGAGAATCTCCACCCATGTAGATGCAGAGAATCTCCACCCATGTAGATGCACAGAATCTTCACCCATATAGATAATCTCCACCCATATAGATGAAGAGAATCTTCACCCATGTAGATGTAGAGAATCTCCACCCATGTAGATGCAGAGAATCTCCACCCATGTAGATGCAGAGAATCTTCACCCATATAGAGAATCTCCACCCATATAGATGCAGAGAATCTCCACCCATGTAGATGCAGAGAATCTCCACCCATATAGATGCAGAGAATCTCCACCCATATAGATGCAGAGAATCTCCACCCATGTAGAGAATCTCCACCCATATAGATGCAGAGAATCTCCACCCATGTAGATTTAGAGAATCTCCACCCATATAGATGCAGAGAATCTCCACCCATGTAGATGCAGAGAATCTCCACCCATGTAGAGAATCTCCACCCATATAGATGCAGAGAATCTCCACCCATGTAGATGTAGAGAATCTCCACCCATATAGAATCTTGACCCACATAGACATATATATAGACAGACTCTCCACCCATAAAGATGAAGAGAATCTTCACCCATGTAGATGTAGAGAATCTTCACCCATGTAGATGTGGAGAATCTTCACCCATGTAGATGTGGAGAATCTCCACCCATGTAGATGTAGAGAATCTCCACCCATGTAGATGCAGAGAATCTCCACCCATGTAGATGCAAAGAATCTCCACCCATGTAGATGCAGAGAATCTCCACCCATATAGATGCAGAGAATCTCCACCCATGTAGATGCAGAGAATCTTCACCCATATAGAGAATCTCCACCCATATAGATGAAGAGAATCTCCACCCATGTAGATGTAGAGAATCTTCACCCATGAAGATGTAGAGAATCTTCACCCATGTAGATGCAGAGAATCTCCACCCATGTAGATGTAGAGAATCTCCACCCATGTAGATGCAGAGAATCTCCACCCATGTAGATGCAGAGAATCTCCACCCATGTAGATGCAGAGAATCTCCACCCATATAGATGAAGAGAATCTCCACCCATGTAGATGTAGAGAATCTTCACCAGAATCTTCACCTATATAGATGAAGAGAATCTCCACCCATGTAGATGCAGAGAATCTTCACCCATGTAGAGAATCTCCACCCATATAGATGAAGAGAATCTCCACCCATATAGATGCACAGAATCTCCACCCATGTAGATGCAGAGAATCTCCACCCATGTAGATGCAGAGAATCTCCACCCATGTAGAGAATCTCCACCCATATAGATGAAGAGAATCTTCACCCATGTAGATGTAGAGAATCTCCACCCATGTATATGCAGAAAATCTCCACCCATGTAGATGTAGAGAATCTTCACCCATATAGAGAATCTCCACCTATATAGATGCAGAGAATCTCCACCCATGTAGATGCAGAGAATCTTCACCCATATATAGAGAATCTCCACCCATATAGAAGAAGAGAATCTTCACCCATGTAGATGTAGAGAATCTTCACCCATGAAGATGTGGAGAATCTCCACCCATGTAGATGTAGAGAATCTCCACCCATGTAGATGTAGAGAATCTCCACCCATGTAGATGCAGAGAATCTCCACCCATGTAGATGCAGAGAATCTCCACCCATGTGTAGATGCAGAGAATCTCCACCCATGTAGATGCAGAGAATCTCCACCCATGTAGATGTAGAGAATCTTCACCAGAATCTTCACCCATATAGATGAAGAGAATCTCCACCCATGTAGATGCAGAGAATCTCCACCCATGTAGATGCACAGAATCTTCACCCATATAGATAATCTCCACCCATATAGATGAAGAGAATCTTCACCCATGTAGATGTAGAGAATCTCCACCCATGTAGATGCAGAGAATCTCCACCCATGTAGATGCAGAGAATCTTCACCCATATAGAGAATCTCCACCCATATAGATGCAGAGAATCTCCACCCATGTAGATGTAGAGAATCTCCACCCATATAGATGAAGAGAATCTTCACCCATGTAGATGCAGAGAATCTTCACCCATATAGAGAATCTCCACCCATGTAGATGCAGAAAATCTCCACCCATGTAGATGCAGAGAATCTCCACCCATATAGATGCAGAGAATCTCCACCCATGTAGATGCAGAGAATCTCCACCCATATAGATGCACAGAATCTCCACCCATGTAGATGCAGAGAATCTCCACCCATATAGATGCAGAGAATCTCCACCCATGTAGATGCAGAGAATCTCCACCCATATAGATGCAGAGAATCTCCACCCATGTAGATGCAGAGAATCTCCACCCATGTAGATGTAGAGAATCTCCACCCATGTAGATGCAGAGAATCTCCACCCATGTAGATGAAGAATCTCCACCCATATAGATGCAGAGAATCTCCACCCATGTAGATGCAGAGAATCTCCACCCATATAGATGCAGAGAATCTCCACCCATGTAGATGCAGAGAATCTCCACCCATATAGAGAATCTCCACCCATATAGATGAAGAGAATCTCCACCCATGTAGATGTAGAGAATCTCCACCCATGTAGATGCAGAGAATCTCCACCCATATAGATGCAGAGAATCTCCACCCATATAGATGCACAGAATCTCCACCCATGTAGAGAATCTCCACCCATATAGATGCAGAGAATCTCCACCCATGTAGATTTAGAGAATCTCCACCCATATAGATGCAGAGAATCTCCACCCATGTAGATGCAGAGAATCTCCACCCATGTAGATGTAGAGAATCTCCACCCATGTAGATGCAGAGAATCTCCACCCATGTAGATGTAGAGAATCTCCACCCATATAGATGCAGAGAATCTCCACCCATGTAGATGTAGAGAATCTCCACCCATATAGATGCAGAGAATCTCCACCCATGTAGATGCAGAGAATCTCCACCCATATAGATGCAGAATCTCCACCCATATAGATGAAGAGAATCTCCACCCATGTAGATGTAGAGAATCTCCACCCATGTAGATGTAGAGAATCTCACCCATGTAGATGCAGAGAATCTCCACCCATGTAGATGCAGAGAATCTTCACCCATGTAGAGAATCTCCACCCATATAGATGCAGAGAATCTCCACCCATGTAGATGTAGAGAATCTCCACCCATATAGATGAAGAGAATCTCCACCCATGTAGATGCAGAGAATCTCCACCCATGTAGATGCAGAGAATCTCCACCCATGTAGATGTAGAGAATCTCCACCCATGTAGATGCAGAGAATCTCCACCCATATAGATGCAGAGAATCTCCACCCATGTAGATGCAGAGAATCTCCACCCATATAGATGCAGAGAATCTCCACCCATGTAGATGCAGAGAATCTCCACCCATATAGATGCAGAGAATCTCCACCCATGTAGATGTAGAGAATCTCCACCCATATAGATGCAGAGAATCTCCACCCATGTAGATGCAGAGAATCTCCACCCATGTAGATGTAGAGAATCTCCACCCATGTAGATGCAGAGAATCTCCACCCATGTAGATGCAGAGAATCTCCACCCATATAGATGCAGAGAATCTCCACCCATGTAGATAGAGAATAGAGAATCTCCACCCATGTAGTTGCAGAGAATCTCCACCCATGTAGATGCAAAGAATCTCCACCCATATAGAGAATCTCCACCCATATAGAGAATCTCCACCCATATAGATGAAGAGAATCTCCACCCATGTAGATGTAGAGAATCTCCACCCATGTAGATGCAGAGAATCTCCACCCATATAGATGTAGAGAATCTCCACCCATGTAGATGCAGAGAATCTCCACCCATGTAGATGCAGAGAATCTCCACCCATATAGATGTAGAGAATCTCCACCCATGTAGATGCAGAGAATCTCCACCCATGTAGATGCAAGAATGACAGTTTATGAATTATAGGTTAAGTTTGAAATGTGTGCTGCTCACAAGCCAAATGATTCCTCTGTTTATAAGTATTGAAAAACTGTTAGGAGCCATACATGTTTTGAGTGGGGTGGAGTGAAGTTTTAACACTTGTGCCAATTAATGGGCAATCATGAAAACAATATTATTTAATTGCAAGAGAGAGATTTGAAAAAAAGTGATGACAGACGTGAATACTATCGATTGAGTCCTACTGGAGTATGGATGTTGGAATGGTTGATTCTAATTTTATTGAGGCCTTTAAAAGCTTTAGTAAGGTTCTGTGCCATAACAAATATTGTCAGCAAGTCCATGTCAGTTCTATTTTACTCAGGTTTCAGTTGGAGAAGGGAAATTCCTTGTGAGATGTGTAAAACAAGATTTGTATTTTATTTGCTGTTGATACACTGAGTCTGTGACAATGCATGTTACAACTGTTTCCCAGCTTCCAATGCTTGCTGAAAGAGGTGAGGTGAGGTGAAATTGGGTTTAACGTCGTGCTTGAGAATATTTCGCTCATATGACGACGTGCATGCGTGTGTATGTGTATGTGCAGCTGCTTGTACTAGCCCAGACTTAAGCTGGTTTTATAGTGCTAGCTCACTGAGATGCCATGCCGCAGTGAAGCATGAATACCCCACTCAGACACAGTATACTGACTCTGAGCCGACCAGTCCTTGTTGTACCCATTAATGCCGAGCGCCAGGCAGGGACCAACAAGTACCATATTTTAACGTCTTTTGGTATGACGCGGTCGGGGATCGAACCCGCGACCTTCTGCTCTCTGGGCAGCACGCGCTCTAACCACTACACCACGGAGGCGGTCTTGCTGAAAGAGATGACTTGGGAATCAATGAATGTGTCCAAAATGCATAGATCTTTCAGTGAGTGAGTGAGTGAGTTTTTTACGCTGCTTTAGCAATATTCCAGCAATATCACAGGGGTGACACCAGAAATGAGCTTCACACATTGTACCCATGAGGGGCATTGAACCCGGGTCTTCAGCATGACGAGCGAACGCTTTAATCACTAGGCTACTCCCAGCCCCAATCTTCCAGTCATGGAGGAAGAAGAGCATACAGCCCCATGACTGACTGACTGACTGACTGACTGACTGACTGAGTTTGGTTTTACGCCGCTTTTAGCAATATTCCAGCAACACTCATGGCGGGGGACACCAGAAATGGGCTTCACACATTGTACCCATGTGGGGATTCGAACCCGGGTCTTCGGCGTGATGAGCCAACGCTTTAACCACTAGGCTACCCCACCACCCCACAACCCCATGAAGTGTTGACAATGTGTGTGTTTAAAATAAATGATCAAACACAGGAAATAGTGACCTGTACACCTCAGGAATTCAGATTAAATAACACAGAATATTTCAGTGTTTTAACTATTTCCTGACCCATGAAGATCCAGGTAGTATTGGTGTTGAGCAAACCATTCTCGTTGTAAGAGGTGACTAACAGGGTTGCTTGCTGACCTTGTTGACACATGTCATCGTATTTCAATTGCACAGATCGACACTCATGATGTCTGGTCCAGGTTCAATTATTTACAGACTGCCATCATATAGCTGGAATATTGCTAAGTGCAGCATTGAAAAAAACAAAGTCCCAATATATGCCTCTACTTACTCCTTTCGTGTAGGTGAAGTCCCCTGAGCTGGTCTCGTAGTGCACAATGTAGCATGGGAGGATGTGGTGACTGTTGAAGATGACGAGTTCCTTCCCATCCGGCGAAGTGTGAGAGTCATTACCCGTTTTCAGAGCAGCTCCATGGATAAGCTTTGTACACTTAAAGACCTGCAACAATCGTCATGAATTCCATGGTACATATTGTCGTTAATTTCATGGTTTATATCATGAATTCCATGGTTTATTTAGTCGTGAATTCCATGGTTTATATAGTCGTGAACTCCATGGTTTATATCATCGTGAATTCCATGGTTTATATCGTGAATTCCATGGTTTATATCATCATAAATTCCATGGTTTATATAGTCGTGAATTCCATGGTTTACATCATAAATTCCATGGTTTATATAGTCGAGAATTCCATGGTTTTACATCGTGAATTCCATGGTTTTATATCATCATGGTTTATATCATCATAAATTCCATGGTTTATATATTCGTGAACTCCATGGTTTATATCATCATAAATTCCATGATTTATATAGTCGGGAGCTCCATGGTTTTATATCATCGTGAATTCCATGGTTTATATCATCATAAATTCCATGGTTTATATAGTCGTGAACTCCATGGTTTATATCATCGTGAATTCCATGGTTTATATCGCGAATTCCATGGTTTATATCATCATAAATTCCATGGTTTATATAGTCGTGAATTCCATGGTTTACATCGTGAATTCCATGGTTTATATCATAATAAATTCCATGGTTTATATAGTCGTGAATTCCATGGTTTACATCATCGCGAATTCCATGGTTTATATCATCATGAATTCCATGGTTTATATAGACGTGAATTCCATTGTTTATATCATCATGAATTCCATGGTTTATATAGACGTGAATTCCATTGTTTATATCATCATGAATTCCATGGTTTATATAGACGTGAATTCCATGGTTTATATCATCGTGAATTCCATGGTTTATATAGTCGTGAATTCCATGGTTTATCATCATTAATTCCATGGTTATAATTCCATGGTTTACATCATCGTGAATTCCATGGTTTATATAGTCGTGAATTCCATAGTTTATATAATTAATATAGTCGGTTTTATATTAATTAAGTGAATTCCATGGTTTTATATAGTCGTGAATTCCATGGTTTACATCATCGTGAATTCCATGGTTTATATAGTCGTGAATTCCATGGTTTATATAGTCGTGAATTCCATGGTTTATATCATTGTGAATTCCATGGTCTATATCATCGTGAATTCCATGGTTTATATCATCGTGAATTCCATGGTTTACATCATCGTGAATTCCATGGTTTATATAGTCGTGAATTCCATGGTTTATATAGTCGTGAATTCCATGGTTTTAAACATCAGCTGTATTCCATGGTTTTTATCATCGTGAATTCCATGGTTTATATTATCGTGAATTCCATGGTTTATATCACCGTGAATTCCATGGTTTATATCATTGTGAATTCCATGGTTTATATCGTTATTACTTCCATGGTTTAAGTGGACTAATACTATTGGCCATGAATGTAACAGAGATACAGCGGTTTCACACCTCGTCCTGAGAAAGACACAAAAGTTTCAGTCAACTTTACCAAATTTGTCTTTCATAAACTTTCCCCGATTACAGTCTAACCCTATTTCTTATTATGTGTAAGCTCACAGGCTTCACACAACCAGCAAAGTCATAAATTGCTTTTTTTATGTTAGTTTATGTGGAGGAATACCTGTCCAGGCCGTACAAGTTTACACTTTAGTGTACCGAACGTTTGGGCTGAGTTACTACTACTCACCAGTTTGAGAATGGAGCTCTTCAATTAACTTCCCACTTCAACACAGCAGTAGCTCTCTGAATGCAGCCCTGTACTCACCTTGCCCAGTAGCACCTGACACATCAGTAGCTCCCTGAATGTGGCCTTTTACTCAACTTCCCTGGTAGCACCTGACACAGCAGTAGCTCTCTGAATGCAGCCCTGTACTCACCTTGCCCAGTAGCACCTGACACAGCAGTAGCTCTCTGAATGCAGCCCTGTACTCACCTTGCCCAGGTAGCACCTGACACATCAGTAGCTCTCTGAATGTGGCCTGGTACTACAGCAGTAGCTCTCACCTTACCCCTGGTAGCACCTGACACATCAGTAGCTCTCTGAATGTGGCCCTGTACTCACCTTCCTGGTAGCACCTGACACAGCAGTAGCTCTCTGAATGTAGCCCTGTACTCACCTTCCCTGGTAGCACCTGACACAGCAGTAGCTCTCTGAATGCAGCCCTGTACTCACCTTCCCTGGTAGCACCTGACACAGCAGTAGCTCCTGAATGCAGCCCTGAATGTTCCTTGGCACCTGTACTCACCTTGCCCAGGTAGCACCTGACACAGCAGTAGCTCCCTGAATGTAGCCCTGTACTCACCTTGCCCAGTAGCACCTGACACAGCAGTAGCTCCCTGAATGCAGCCCTGTACTCACCTTCCCCAGGTAGCACCTGACACAGCAGTAGCTCCCTGAATGCAGCCCTGTACTCACCTTCCCTGGTAGCACCTGACACAGCAGTAGCTCTCTGAATGTAGCCCTGTACTCACCTTCCCTGGTAGCACCTGACACAGCAGTAGCTCTCTGAATGTAGCCCTGTACTCACCTTCCCTGGTAGCACCTGACACAGCAGTAGCTTGGTTGCTCCCTGAATATAGCCCATTGAGTAGCTGGGGTACTCACTGAAGTACACCCCTTTCCCATACCACCCCGTGTCTGTCCGATGGGAGAAGCCTGCTGTTCCTGTTCAAATGATAATCAAACAAATTAAATTACAAATACAATAAACCAATTATTACAATGGTCTAAGGCTTAAAGTGTGTATGGCGTAATGACAGCCTATTGAGTATAGCATTGATATAGCTCATAAAGACTGATAATTGTGAACTAAATTACAATCGATTATCGATAAAAAAAATAGAAACATAACTTTGAGCAAAAATGCCAAAAAAGTCTGAAAGAAACGAATATATTTCACATCACTTGTGAGCGGTGACATTAATAACTTTTCTTATTAACTATATTTCAGGTTATCGATGATTTTAGCCATCTCTACTACAGAGCCTTACAAATTGTTAATTATTATAATAATTACTGTAATTGTTTTTATCATATTATTAATATTTATATTTATTACATTATTGGGATGAATCTTCACAGTTGTGTGGTGTAGGGAAGCCAACTGTTCCTTTTTTATCATTATAAATAACTGTGATAAGTCCTTTCTGTCTGAATGAGTGAGTTCAGTTTTACACCGCTTTTAGCAATATTCCAGCAATATCACAGTCAGGGACACCAGAAATGGGCTTCACATGTACCCATGTTGGGAATTGAACCCGGGCCTTCGGCATGACAAGCAAACACATTAACCACTACGCTACCCTAACCCTAAACACCACCCCACCACCCCCACGAGTCACACTAATGCTGTAGGGGTTCTTGTCGGTGCAGGTACTACAGATATGTACCCCAGGTACTTTTCTACATACAAAAATGAACCCTAAACAAATTCAAAATACAGCAATGTACCAAGAACCCTAAACGTGGCACAAGTCCATATCCCCAAAACAGCAACTGTATGTAGTTGTTACCGTCCAACTGATTGCGAGTAGTCTAGGGCATTGCAAAATATTTGTTATCATGTTTGCTTTTTTCTCGTATATCGCAATCAAATGCACCTAATACAACTGTTTGACAGTTCCAATCAAGGAAACAGCACAATGCAGAATGGACTAAACAACAGTACCTGGCACCCTGAAGCCAGTCTCACAGATAGGTGTAATGTTTTTTTCCACGGTGCCATGGAAGGCAAGGACAGGGTAGGAGTGATCTTCGCCTCGTGTCTTCTTCAGATGTTCCCGAGCATCCCTGTGAGGAACAAGCACTGAGTTGTCATATACTGTACTGTATAAGTACTTTTTGTTCAAGGATATGTCATAGGTATTAGTTTCTTTAAAACACCACTATCATAAGTCAACATAAAATGAAAAATTAATCTTCAGCTCGTCAATATGAACACTGCAAATCTGTTTAGAAATGTCAGGTCTTAAATTTTATCCGAGCAGATATAGAGAATCTCACCCAAGTGTCTACTGATATCAATTATATCAACATGAGTTGATAAAGTTACATATATCCGAGGCTTGTTGAGGATATTTTCACTTTTATCAACGTGTGTTGATATATTTGATATCAGAAGACACAAGGATGAAATTCTATTTATCATCAAAAATCGTTCTTCATTAGTTTCCAATGAAGAATGTACATTGTTGACCGTGGTACTGCCATTAGACTTGCAGTGCAGCAATGTCATAGTATTGTGATGTCATTAAGTTTATGCCATCATAGCAAAGTGATGTCATAGGTTTTTGATGTCATAGCATTGTGCGTCATGCAATTGATGATGTCAAAGCATTGTGATCTCATGCAATTGATGATGTCAATGCATTGTACAAAATCAACTATCAAAAATTATATCTGCTTGGAGATATCATTTGATCTCACACAAGCAATATCTCCAGTGGAACACAAGTTTTGATGATAAACTTATTTAATTTGAAGCATAGCTTGAGAGGATGAGTCTAGTTTAAGCGTTTAACTGTAAAAAATGGGCAAGAAGATCTCAGCATCTGCGAATGTTTATTTTTGTTTTGTCGTTGAACACCACACTCAACAATATTTCAGCTATGTGATGTCTGTTTGTAAATAATAGAGTCTGGATCAAACAATCCAGTGATTGAGATCATGAACATTGATCTCAGAAACTGGGGCAGTTGTTTACAGAATAAATTAGGAATGAGAACTTACTTAAAACGTGTTACCAAAGGTGGGTTGACAACATACTCCACTTTTGCAACTCGGACGCTGAAAGAAAAATTTAATAATGAAACTCAAAATATCAGCTTCTGCGACTTGTCATTAATCTATTTCAACTCCTTTCATCAAGACCCACTTCCTCAAACTTCAGTAAACATCTTCCCTTCATCAACACCCACTTCCTCACCTCCTCAACCTTCAGTAAACATCTTCCCTTCACCAACACCCACTTCCTTACCTCCTCAACCTTCAGTAAACATCTTCCCTTCATCAACACCCACTTCCTTACCTCCTCAACCTTCAGTAAACATCTTCCCTTCATCAACACCCACTTCCTATCCTCCTCAACCTTCAGTAAACATCTTCCCTTCATCAACACCCACTTCCTCAACCTTCAGTAAACATCTTCCCTTCATCAACACCCATTTCCTTACCTCCTCAACCTTCAGTAAACATCTTCCCTTCATCAACACCCACTTCCTTACTTCCTCAACCTTCAGTAAACATCTTCCCTTCATCAACACCCACTTCCTTACCTCCTCAACCTTCAGTAAACATCTTCCCTTCATCAACACCCACTTCCTTACTTCCTCAACCTTCAATAAACATCTTCCCTTCATCAACACCCACTTCCTTACCTCCTCAACCTTCAGTAAACATCTTCCCTTCATCAACACCCACTTCCTTACCTCCTCAACCTTCAGTAAACATCTTCCCTTCATCAACACCCACTTCCTTACCACCTCAAATTTCAGTAAACATCTTCCCTTCATCAACACCCACTTCCTTACCTCCTCAACCTTCAGTAAACATCTTCCCTTCATCAACACCCACTTCCTTACCACCTCAACCTTCAGTAAACATCTTCCCTTCATCAACACCCACTTCCTTACCTCCTCAACCTTCAGTAAACATCATCCCTTCATCAACACCCACTTCCTTACCTCCTCAACCTTCAGTAAACATCTTCCCTTCATCAACACCCACTTCCTTACCTCCTCAACCTTCAGTAAACATCTTTTCTTCATCAACACCCACTTCCTTACCTCCTCAACCTTCAGTAAAAATCTTCCCTTCATCAACACCCACTTCCTCACCTCCTCAACCTTCAGTAAACATCTTCCCTTCATCAACACTCACTTCCTTACTTCCTCAACCTTCAGTAAACATCTTACCTTAATTAAGACCCACTTTCTCACTTCAACACCCCCACCCCCATCCCCCCCCTTCTATTAACCTTCCCTCAGTAATCTGCCTGCAATTACAAACCACTCCCTCATGTCTTAAACCAGCTACCCTTCATCAGACCTTCCTACTAAATTCAAAACCCTTTCTCAAATCTTTCCTTCATCAAGGCCAACTTATTCATCTCAAACTCCCTTCAACCATCTTTCCGTCATCAATCTCACTATTTATCTAGACCCTCCTCCTAATTCAAGCACCTTCACGAACCTTCCTTTCATGAAGACCCTTCACCCTTATACTATAGGAATCTCTGCCATCATTCTCCAACTCCCAAAAGTAATTTTGTAATAGCTATCCATAAGATTTTAGCAAATCCTTGAAGTCTTCTTAGTCTTGTGTTCATAACATTCCCAACTGTAAGTGATCTGTTTAAATGTGTGCGTGAGCATTGTTTTACATCACTTTTAGCAATATTCCACAATATCACAGCGAGGAACACCAGAAATGGGCTTCAGCATGACAAGCAAACACTTTAACCACTGGGTTACCCCACCACAGGGGTGGAAATACTCTTAAAATTGATAGTGTACTCCAGTACAGTGGCACATGTAAAGTCACTTGCCCTGATAATTTGTCCACTATACTGATTTTTAAATTAACAACATAATTAACATTGGAAAGTCAACTGGACACCAGTACAGTGTGATATACAAATTTGCTTGCCCGACAAAAAATACACTGGACTCGGACGTCGGGCAATGGATTATTTCCACCCCTGCACCACTCCTCATCCTGGTTCAGCACCAACCAACGGGTCAGTATAAAGCTACAGAAACTAAAGAGCCTTAGGACCCCGCACTACTGCAGATTGTTGGGGCTGGGGAAGAAGCTGGTCCCTTCTGATGAGACATGGGATATATCTTGTCACAACCCAAACAGGCCCTTCATTCTGTAAATAAAGATGCTCAACAATTGTTTCCACAACACAGATTTCCTTTGTATTACAGAGTCAAACCCAAGATGGCATCCTTATCTTGGATCATGATTACACTATGTCTTGTCAGTTTGCTTGTTAATCTCTTTGGTCATGTTGACGAGGTCCGTGGTTTAAGTCCCAGCAAAGGACGCGAAAATTTTATTCCCACTATATAAGGGAAAACCAGGGATTTACCTCCAGTCCTGTATTTGATGGTGCCTCGGACTCATGCTTATAATCAGGGGTTCTGGACAACAAAATGGGGGTCCCAGACCCTTAAATATTATTATTAATACTGTTATTGTATTGTGTATCATGATCATCACATTAATTATTACAGTAATGAAATTGCAAATGATACCATATCCCAGCTAGTAGCAAACTCAGTGATAACTTATTGTTACTTGATTGGAACTTTTTACAAAATTATTTGGACTTTTTCTTTGTCCCTGTGGATGCACAAATAAATTTCGTTGCGTCCATTGTCAATTTTTATGCGTATAGGACGCAGGAATTCGCGTCCTGTAAATCCCTGGGTAAACTATTTTTGTCAATTGTTCATTCGTCTTGACCCACCGTTTCTGCATAACCCTGCACTGATCATCAGGCACAGTAAGCTACATCACTGAATATCTAATCTACGTTTATAACAAACTGACAGATATAACAAACAGGGTTTTTTAGCCGTGACTACCAACTACGCTCATAATGAGTCAAGTTTAGTAGTTCGTTTGAGTTAGTTGACTGTAGTTGGTTCCTTACTTTGTGGTGTAGGTTGATGTGAGGAGCCTGTAGAACTGAGACTCGGCCAGACGGAAGTGGGTCTGAGCTGCTGAACCTTCCTTGTATGCACGCTCAGCAGCCAGGGGGAAGAACACCGTCTTGTCCCCCTTCATAGCTTCCTTCTCCCCGTCCACCAGCAGCAACCCTGTGCTCACCTGGCAACACAACACACATCTGTCAGACAGGTACCCTCACCTGGCAACACAACACACATCTGTCAGACAGGTACCCTCACCTGGCAACACAACACACATCTGTCAGACAGGTACCCTCACCTGGCAACACAACACACATCTGTCAGACAGGTACCCTCACCTGGCAACACAACACACATCTGTCAGACAGGTACCCTCACCTGGCAACACAACACACATCTGTCAGACAGGTACACTCACCTGGCAACACAACACACATCTGTCAGACAGGTACTTTCAACCTGGCAACACAACACACATCTGTCAGACAGGTACCCTCACCTGGCAACACAACACACATCTGTCAGACAGGTACCCTCACCTGGCAACACAACACACAACTATCAACAGGTACCCTCACCTGGCAACACAACACACATCTGTCAGACAGGTACCCTCACCTGGCAAACACACATCTGTCTGACAGGTACAACACACATCTGTCAGACAGGTACCCTCACCTGGCAACACAACACACATCTGTCAGACAGGTACCCTCACCTGGCAACACAACACATCTGTCAGACAGGTACCCTCACCTGGCAACACAACACACACCTGTCAGACAGGTACCCTCACCTGGCAACACAACTGGCAACACAGACAGGTACCCTCACCTGGCAACACAATCTGTCAGACAGGTACCTCACCTGGCACTGCCAACACAGATCTGTCAGACAGGTACCCTCACCTGGCAACACAACACACATCTCTGGCAACACAACACACATCTGACAGGTACCCTCACCTGGCAACACAACACACATCTGTCAGACAGGTACCCTCACCTGGCAACACAACACACATCTGTCAAACAGGTACCCTCACCTGGCAACACAACACACATCTGTCAAACAGGTACCCTCACCTGGCAACACAACACACATCTGTCAGACAGGTACCCTCACCTGGCAACACAACACACATCTGTCAGACAGGTACCCTCACCTGGCAACACAACACACATCTGTCAAACAGGTACGCTCACCTGGCAACACAACACACATCTGTCAGACAGGTACCCTCACCTGGCAACACAACACAGATCTGTCAGACAGGTACCCTCACCTGGCAACATATGATACACCAAACAACTAAGGCACATACTCACCATCTTCACCCTCACCAAAATCCCCACACCTGGCAACATGATACACCAAACAACTAAGGCACATACTCACCATCACGCTCCCATCACATTATCCCCACCTACTCACCTGGTCCTGCAGAGTCTTCATCCTCACCAAAATCCCCACTCCTCTCCCCTCCCCCTCCATCACACCATCTCCCTCCCCCTCTTCATCACACCATCCCCCGCCTAACACATCGGCCCCACCCACTCACCTGGTCCTGCAGAGTTTTCCCCTCCGAAAAATCCCCACACCCTCTCCCTCCATCACATTATTCCCTCCCTCTCCATCACCCCATCCCCCATCTATCACATCACCCCCACCCACTCACCTGGTCCTGCAGACTCTTCACCTCCTTCTCCTTCTCCTCGACCTTCTTCTTGGTCTGTTCCAGTTCCTTCTGCAGCTGCTGCTTGGCCTCAAATGCCTTTTTTGATGAGCTCCTTTCGCTCATCCTCGGTCATCTGGGAGAAGCTCTTCACCAGGGACATCCCACGATTCAATATATCCTTCCCACCTTTCTTCGGTGCAGGCTTTTTGTCCTGTAAAATCATCACAACCATTTCTTTAAGAGTTTTACCTTTTGTCAACTACTGTTGAAATATTGGATTCTCTATATCTCTGTTTGTCACTCTACAGTAGCAAGTTTGACATGGATGTGCATTCAAAATCTACGTGGCGTCCACTGTTGCATTTAAGACATGATACAAGGCAAGTCTGGTACTGGTGATATCTAATTTGTTTTTATCATGAAAGAACAGTGTAATTTGACTTGATGGCTACTTTTATCATTATGTCATTCAAACCAGACTTAAAACATCCCCCCTGCTTGTTTATCATACAATATGACAACTGTTGAATATACACAATCAATCAATCATTTATTCAGTAGTATGGCCACATGGCCTAGAGTACAGTTATCTGAGAGTATATATTTATGTAATCATGTCACGGATCTAAAACGAAAAACATGTTTCAGGAATAATGCAACAGATTTAAGGGTATTTACATTTTTTTAGTTTAACAGGTTTGTCATTGTGTACATATTCTTGATTTGATACGGACATGGCAGCTTCATTCATAAATTGGAATACTTTGAACAAGCGAACAAGACATGAAATTCATCCTCGAAGCAGTAATCATTATAATTTGTACAAATAATATAACATTTTCAACATTTTTACTCTGCCTTGCAGTATTTACTTTAAAATCATGTAGAGATATTCTAAATTTACATAGTACTTGTCAGAGGTTTTTATCTTCAACATGGTTTACATAGAATTTGGCTGTAGAGGGGACATGTCCAAGCAGGGCTCCAGATAATTTTTCAACATCAGGAGTATGTACTCCTTATTTTTTCAATATAGGAGTACTGGAAAAACTTAAGAGTACATTTAGAGTACTGAATGGAAATTAGTAATCAGTATTCTTGTGTTTCGTTTGGTATATGAACCACAACATTGCTACTCTTGTGTAAACAGGCCAATAAACAATAAAACAATTCTTTTTCATATAAATATGTCTGTGAATGATTCGTACACCATTGCTGTGGTGCGTATCTGCTACGTTTTCAAAATTATTTCCTATCATATCGTGCATATTTTTTATCCGTACATACGTCGATACGGCCCTTATCTGGAGCCCTGTCAAAGTCTTGAAATGAGCTAGATATGTTGAGTTTGAAATTTCATCATGCCATGTTTGATCATATATATCAGTTAAACGTTGCTTCAGTTGATAAATAAAACTATTTTCAATTCTGACATCCTGGGAAAACCATACCTGTAACAAACCACAAGAAAATAGCAGACTCCTTATTTCCGATGTCCAATTTCCTTTTCCTTTTTCCTTCTAAGTTTTTCAGCATTAAATGGGATTGGTGATGATATCAGCGTTCGTTCATTCATAGTAGTCAGATAATGTATTTGACTGCTTTTAGTTGTGTACATATGTATATTGGGTATCGTCCAGTTTCTCTCGGAATTGCTTTATTTGATGCAAATTTTCCAACGTTCCGAAACCTTTTTAAATAAGTAGCTTGTGTCTTTTCTATACTTTCTTGACATTTTATTCCCATATCTCAGATGCATAGAGCAGTATTGGTTTAATTTTGCTGTCAAATATGTGACATGCAGACTCAAATGATATTGATGAGTATTGTCTGAAGAGACTGTAGATGGGAATGACGGCTTTTCCAGCTTGATCGGAGATACTCGGGCAGTTCTTCGAAACAGAACTCCAAGATATTTGTAATATGTCGTACATTTTAAAGGTTTATCTTCAAATGTCCAGGATTCATTTTCGAGATTTTGCCACCATTTCTAAACACAATTATGTTTGTTTTTTGCAAATTCACTTCAGATAATACTGATTTCCATGGATATGTTAATAAATTATAGCAATCACAGAGGTGGAAATAACCCATTGCCCGACGTCTGAGTCCAGTGCTTTTTTCTGTCAGGCAATCAAATTTGTATATCATGCTGTACCGATGTCCAGTTGACTTTCCAGTGATAATAATGCTGTTTATTTAAAAAATCAATAAGAAAACGGCCGGTATAGTGGACAAATGATCAGGGCAAGTGATGTTACATGTGCCACTGTACCGGAGTACACTAGCAATTTTAAAGTTATTTCCACCCCTGAATCATTATCAACCATGAAGATTCCAACAAAAAGTCATCAATATCCCCATCAATGGTAAAATTTTCAGCTAGTCTTGTATAGTTTGGAGTACCTCCGTAAGATTCATACTGGAATAGAATGGTACTGTTGATTAATGTCCTTAGGTTGTTGGATACCCACAAAGTGGAGTATAGAAGTGTTTTAAAGTTCTGCTCTCGAAAAGAGCACTACCACTAATTTCAGTCGAAGTTAAACTTGTTGCCATGGAAACGCAAAAAATATTTTATTCAGAAATCCAAAACTACCAAAAGGCACCAGTTCACGATCCAGACATATCTATGTGCAAAGTTTGGTAAAGAAATATTTAACAGTTCTAAGTTCTGCTCACAGAGTCAAAATAATACCCCCGCAAAACGTGTTGCGGGGGATAATTAAAATTGGTCTTCAGCAATCCATACTTGTAAGAGGCGACTAACGGGATCAGGTAGTCAGGCTCGCTGACTTGGTTAACTCATGTCATCGTATCCCAATTGTATAGATCTATGCTCATGACGTTGATCACTGGATCATTTGGTTCAGGCTTGGAAATATACAGACCGTCGCCATGTAGCTAGAATATTGCTGCATGCAGCGTTAAACAAGAAACAAGCATTGGGTATGAGGCCGACATTTAGTTCCGGAAGTTATCTTATATATAAATATATACCCACAAAGAAATATGTCATTTAGCTCCATAAGGAGCCCAAAACAATCAAGACTTAAGATTACATTCTTGACCCCATCGTATCTATTCCCTGGTAACTGGGAGACTAACTACCAGGATATGTATCATGTCAGCATCAGGGGTGGAAATAACCCATTGCCTGACGTCCGAGTCCAGTGTTTTTTTCTGTCGGGCAAGCAAATTTGTTTATCACACTGTACCGATGTCCAGTTGACTTTCCAATGTTATTTATGTTGTTTATTTTAAAAAATCAACAAGAAAACGGACGGTATAGTGGACAAATTATCAGGGCAAGTGATTTCACATGTGCCACTGTTCCGGAGTACACTAGTAATTTTAAAGTTATTTCCACCCCTGAGCATACAGATATAATACAAAGGATTTAGACAGTGTGTACAGTGACAGCAATGAAACAAAACAGCAACAACTCACATCCTCATCAGAGTCCATTACATCCGTGTCGCTCCCACTGTCAGCAGCAGCAGCTGCACCAACACTCGTCGGATGAGAAAACTCTGCAAAATGAAGCAGGTTCTTGCGGTAGCACTTGGCTCCATACTGACATGGAGGCAGCGACGTCGAGTCTGGTAATGTTGGTTTCGTGTCCTTCACTCCATCTTTGGCGTGATCCATGTCGAGAAAATGCTGGGGATTTTTCCTGTAGCAACGAGATCCATATGGACATTTTGGTAGATCTTTTTTAGCCTTTTTTGCTGCACTTGGTCCATCTGCCATCTTGCCTCGACACTGAAATCACCCCGAAAAATTCAATATTTAAAATAATATTTTTCTTATTTTCACAGATGAGCTCGATTTGATTTTGAAACAATAAACCTATAGGTGAAAGAGAATTGGAAATAATAATAGTAATATCCACACCACTCACAGATGTTATTCATGATAGATGACAGTTGCCCTTTTCCGTTCTACTGCTCATACTGAGGACATTTAATGTAACAGGCACAGACAGCAGTTGACAACATGAGGGGTGGAAGGTTGTCCTCATTTAGATTTGGCATGTCAGTTCCTTCTGATGATCATTTCCGCTACACAAACAAGAGAAACAAGTTTTACCGTAACCCCAAAATTTATGGATTGAGTTCACTCCAATTTCTCATTTGAACAGTCCTTACAGGAAATATGAGGCTCCTGGACTATAGTCTGTTTGCAGTGAAAACGTACCGATGAATTTCGCTTTAAACAAAAAAATAAATCAAATAAAGTGAAATTAAGATTGCGAATACTCTTAATTTTACCTTGCCAATTGAACAAATAAATCTCAGAATTTTATTCATCTTAGGATAAAAGTTGTTTAACAAATAATCATAGATTCAAATCGCTATTATTGGTTTGTATTACAAGGGGGTAAGCGTAGTAGTTGGAACAGTGAAACAAATGCACGTGCGGTACGTGATGAGCGTTAACTTAGGCCAACCATACTTGTTCTAGGTGTTTCATCTAATGTGCATACCCCCTTGTAATACAAACCAATAATAGCGGTTTGAAACCAAGATCGTTTCTTAAACAACTTTTATCCTAAGTTGAATAAAATTCTGAGATTTAAATGTTCAATTGGCAAGGTAAAATTATGAGGATTCGCAATCTTATTTTCACTTTAATCGATTTACTTTTTTGTTTAAAGTGAAATTCATCTGTACGTTTTCACTGCAAACAGACTATAAACAAAGTGAAGACATGTGAAGACCTGGGTTAGACTGCAGATAAACACAATTAACAATGGGTCAGTATTGATCTTCATGCAGTAACCCACGTTTGTAGTACAAGCTGATTAACAGGACTGAGAGGTTCGGGTTGCTTATTTCATTGATGATTGATCCCAATTGTGTACAAGTGATGTTGATATAACTAAAATCTTTGACTCATTGATGCTCATGATGTCAAACACTGGATTGTCTGGTCCAGACTCGATTATTTACAGACCGCTGCCATATAGCTGGAATATTGCTGAGTACGGCGTCAAACCACACGCAAGCACATATAGCTTTAATATTGTAGAGTTAACACCATCCACGACTAACATCTACCAATCCTTACTAGGGCTGCAAAGAGTCACCCAGACCTCGATTCGATTCGATTTTCGATATTGGACCCTCAATTTGATCATTTTCGATTAAATTCTTCATGCAAGTAAAAACATCAGATTTCGTTTAACTCAGTTTATTAAACAAAACATATCAAACTGAAAACCTTTTTCCAAGATTTGACGAAGAAATCAGGAATGAAAATGATGTAACCTTTTTCAAACAAATAAAATATGATGTTTAAACACATAACAGCACTCAAATATCGAATCGAATTAGTGATAATGGTTATCGAAAATCGAAACTAAGGTGTGAGATTCGATTTTCGATAATTCGAATAGAATCGTTGCAGCCCTAATCCTTAAGAGACATAAACATACTTGTATATATCCATGTGACTGCTCTATATCCATGTGTCTGCTCTATATCCATGTGTTATTCACTCATTTCTAATTTGTGATATTATTTCAAATTAACTCATAACCATCACACGCATACACAATCGAGTCCGATAATTCCACGCGTCCGGTAATTCTGCGCAGCTGCAATAGCGTACTTCCGTATCGAAGGTAAGCATCGTCTGCTACCACCTTTACGCTTGAAATCGAGACATTTCTACAAGGAACTGGCTTTTAATCACTAAAGGTAAGTAAATAACAGTAATTGACAGATAAATTGACAGTTTTATGAAAATTCCTTTTCTTCAAACTTTTAAACCTTTTCCTTCATTATTCATAATTGGATTTAATATGAAACATTCTTCCTTACATTGATGAAGTGATTTTTGAAAATAATCTGGCCCTAATAAGCTTCCATACTTCAGATTTCCAGCTGGATATTAGGCGCATCAGTTGCAGCGCTGAATTACCGGACAGCAAGAGATGTGGTCAGAACGCCGGTGAGGTCAACCGTATGGCATAATGCAACGTTAGAATCTTGTAGTCGTCAATAAAAATTATATTTCTAGGTAAATATGATGCATACCAGCATGCTTAGTCACGTAAACCACAAAAAATAAGAGATGTTAGTTGCCGTGTTGCGATCGATGTGCTTAGGTGCGCAGAATTACCGGACGGCATTGTATAGGCGTTCGAATAATGAATATGATGAATACATCACTACCGACAGTCATTGATCCGTGGGTTGTCATTATGTTTTCATAAAATGTCGGACGTAAGGACATGAAAATAATGTTTTCTAGACATGCATTTGTTAGACCCACTTATTTCACTAATTATTTAAGGCAACTTATCAGCTCTGCTGACCAACAATGGCCTACAGACACCTCATATGCAGGAAATAAATGGTGCTGACAGTGTTCGAGCAACGTAGTTGATCTAATTTTCGAAACTGAAAACTGCCAACTTACATGACTGCCGTCCACTCAGGTCCAAATTTCGCTGATTCGGTTTGTTTACAACGCTGACTTCCGTGTCAGCACATGTTAGATGAACTTGTCTGCACACGCCCAAATGGTGCCGGCACAATTCTGCTACAACATGCGGAGACATATTCTGGCATCACTGAAATTGTTTGTTTGGTGTTGGGTCTAACATATTTTGTTTCTTATACAATTTGCTACTTAAACTAACATACTTAACACTGTTGAATATTTTTCGTGTTTACAAATATGATCAATTAGACTGGAAGTCAAAGTTACAAATGAAGTAAGTTCTCGTGCAAGGGGACATAACACACCGACAAAAGAACACAATGTTAACCGCTACACAGAAATGAGTGATTGAGCTAAGATTTTAAGTGACATTGGCAGCATTTCAGCCATATTGTGACTAAATCAAGTTATAGATTTACAGTAATTGAGGCTACGCAGAAATAAAAGATCCAACCTCGTCAGCACAGCGATTTGAAACTGTACTCCGATATAGTTTAAATTATCAATGTATCCCATAAAACCAATATGCGTAAACAGCAACGGATTTCTGAGCCTGAACAAAATGTTTAGTGCACATGAATATAACTTAACATTCTCTCAATGTATTACATACAGTACAACCAGAAATTATTGAGAATTTAAGATTGTATTTTTTTTTTTTTTCACTCATTACTCACGTATTAAATGTGAATATTAGCAGAACATAACTCCAGATTCAAAGACAGGTGAACAGTTAGTATTTTGTCAAGTCACCATGGGCAGCAATGCAGGCTTCAATGCGGCGGGGCATACAACTGATCAAAGAAGTTAGAAAGTCGTGGTCCATGCTGTCCCAGTATCGGACCACCTCTTCTTTCATTTCAGCAATATTTGTCAGATTTTTACTTATTGACACTTTCCTTCATAAGTCCCCAAACATTTTCTATTGGATTTAGGTCAGGGCTATAGCTTGGCCAATCTAATAATGTCATATTTTGGGTCCGAAACCAGGCCTGTGAATACTTTGAACGATGTTTTGGGTCGTTGTCCTGCTGGAAAATCCAAACATTTTCATAGAACACGTGAGCAGATGGAAGTAAATGTCCCTCGAGAATATCTGTGTACCGCTCACTGTTCATATTCCCTTCAAATACACAGAGGGGCGTAGCCCCTAACACAGATATGCCACCCCACACGTTAAATTTCGGATAATACTTTGGGTGCTGATACAAAGGTTTTTCAGTTTGTTTGGTCCACAAATTCAGTGTATTAGGAAACAGCCACACAGAACTTTCATCTGAGAAAATCACATTGTCCCAGTTAAAATTTCTATGCTGTAAGCACCAGTTCAACCTTCGCTCCTTTTGTTCAGGTTTCATGATAGGTGACGGAATTCCTCGACTTTTCTGCCAACCCATTGCATGCAGCTCAGTTCTAATTGTCTCCTTACAGACAGACACAGTTCCTCTATCAATCATATCCAGCCTTAAGTTTTCTAAACTCGATCCTTCGTTTGTTTTTAGAAACAAGAATATCAAGCCGCCTCCTGTCACCGAGTCAATTTTCTGGGCCTACCTGTGCCTCCCTGTGCTCAATGCCATTCCATTTGCAATATTTTTCAAAACACGATAAACAGTGGTCAAAGGGATTCCTGCTCTACTTGAAATCACTTTAGCTGATCTGATGTCCTTGTTATAATACTCTAAAATCAACTTCCACTTCTCTAAATCATCCATACTGAAGATCAATGAAAATGTCGTCTGCTAGCAAGTAAACAAAGGGGGATAACTCTTCACAAACTAATGAAAAAGGATTAACGGAGTTGTCTCTCTTGAATGAACCCAAGCACTTGATAGCTGGTCAAGGTTGTTTATACTGTCCAAGAGCGTTCGTTGTGGTACTCGCGGATGGTAGTTCAAGAGGCGGAAGACAAAAGTCAGCAGTATAGTTGATGACAGCAGCAGCCATGTTTATTATGGTTGGGGAATAATGGTAGAAATGGTACATACAAGTGGAAATCACGTGACAGAACGCACAGCGGGACCGAGTGGCAAATGTTCCCGATGTGGAGACCCGCTCTGTCACTTACACACATTCAGAAGTCGGACGGCGATTCTTCATCGTCGACGTAGTCGTTGGTGAGGCGACGGCCTTGGCCGACGCCCCGACTAGCCGCACATTCCGTCCACTTCTGTCGATGATCTTATGCATAGGGACATTACGCCACGTTGTGCAAGGTCACTGACCTGTGCACATGTATATACATAAGATCCGTCGACGTGTGTGTGTGTGTGTGTTATTATTGGGGTTTGTATGATAAAAGGGCTACACCGAATGATTGCTGAATACATTAAACAGACAAAGGGGATAGAATTTCGGTGCACTTTGGATATATATGGAAACAATTATGTTGTTTGAATATATGAAGTTTTACAGAAACTTATTGAAATGGTTTACTCTATGACAACACCCCTGAACGTCGTGGAGCTTTTGTCCTCAAAAGCGTTTTTTTGGAAAATAGTGACAGTATTGGATGTACAAGTATCCAGTAAAATACTTGGGACATTGACGGGTTGACAAATATTTGGTACAGGCATTGATCATAAGTCAAATGATCGTAATGGCATTAGATTAGTTATACAGGAACGTCAAGGTAATACATGAATCGAATTGTCAACATTGGTCAGGTGTACACACAAAACACAAGTGAGCGGAGATTCCAGCTCGTACAAAAATACGGGTGAGCGGCTGTCCAGCTCGTACAAAACAAACATAACATTGGTCGTTTCCACCGAGAGGCAAACTCCTGCTCGCGGTCGTCCATACAGTCGGAACACCTGACTGATAAGTACACACAAAAACATAATGTGCGTAATGCGTCATCGTTTGCATATGAATGTAATATTTTCATAACAACAGTAAGATCTTTGAAATTGGGAGTCTTATATTGGTGAGCCTAGACTCGGCAAGGCTAGCAGATGTAGATGTGATCTGCACTAAAATTAGAATTGGCATGAGAAAAAACATAAACCTAACCAACTTCAAAAGTCTAACCGAAAGTTAATGAAAAATTAATTCAAGTGAAATTGGCTCGAAGATATTTTAGCGAATTGTATATTGTGTGCCAGAGACCATAAAAGTATTATGCACAAGGATACTAATTTTTCGCCGGCATAATAATTAAGCACAAAAACACGTTGGCAAAACGAAGAAGTAGGATATAGACTGGATAATCAGTCTCCACTAAATAAGCTTGGTAAGCAATGACTTATTATACTTCTACGACTACTATTACCACATGAAAAGATTTAGCCGTTTTTCACAAAGAGTAAATATGGTATTGCATAACTCGCTATAAGCTATTGTCATAGCAATAGTTATAGAGGAACAAATTACTAGAAAAATCCTTGAAACCGGGAGTCTGATTTGAATGGGACGACTCGGATACCGCAGATAGCGTTGATCTGCATTAAATGCGTATATGCGTAGGGCGTAGTATATGTAGTAGTTTGCTGGCTATGGGCTGCTGTCTCGCTGATGATCGTCGGGTCGGCTGGTGTGTCTACATGTTGTCTTCTCCGTTCTTCCGCCAAGATGGCGGCCGGCGTTGACGCTGCTCTTGTCTACTACCATCTCTGAACTACCGGTTGCTTTGCTGCGAGTTAGGGTAGGGGAATCGTGCGTGAGTCACAGCAAACTCACGCTACCCGGATTCTCCACCATCTGTCCAAGAGCGTTCGTTGTGGTACTCTCGGATGGTAGTTCAAGAGGCGGAAGACAAAAGTCAGCAGTATAGTTGATGACAGCAGCAGCCATGTTTATTATGGTTGGGGAATAATGGTGGAAATGGTACATACAAGTGGAAATCACGTGACAGAACGCACATCGAGACCGAGTGGCCAATGTTCCCGATGTGGAGACCCGCTCTGTCACTTACACACATTCAGAAGTCGGACGGCGATTCTTCATCGTCGACGTAGTCGTTGGTGAGGCGACGGCCTTGGCCGACGCCCCGACTAGCCGCACATTCCGTCCACTTCTGTCGATGATCTGGGCCCGTCTCCTCACCTCGTCTCTGACTGGTCTCCCTGCTTGGTCTCCCTGAGTGACCCTGTGAGTCGGGTTTTATGCATAGGGACATTACGCCACGTTCTGCAAGGTCACTGACCTGTGCACATGTATATACATAAGATCCGCCGACGTGGGGAGATGTTAATTGACATTTGCTGATGGCATTGAGAATTAAGGGTCCTGCCCTGAGGGGAACAATTATGTTGTTTGAATATATGAAGTTTTACAGAAACTTATTGAAATGGTTTACTCTATGACAATACTAGAAATCCAATTAAACATATTCCTAAAATTCTCAATAATTTTTGGTCATACTATAATTCTTTCTGAACTGGACTAATGCTTCTTGCTGCCCAACAGTTATCGCCATATTTTAGCAGTATTTACAAAATTACTCCGCCGTTCGTTAAATTAATTAAACAGAATTAATCATGATACTAATTAGCTATTCACCGATGTGTCCAGCTCGTTCACTGCCGCCGATTGTGTTTTCATATAACGCGGCGGGAGGGAATCATGGCAGTACAAATATGTTTTCTAACAATTAACTAACTGTAACAGTTATCGCCATTTCAGAATTTCTCATTTCATTCGTAAAATAATATATATTTATATAATAAAGTAACCTCAAATAATGATTGTGTGACTGGTTGAGTGTTTACTTAGAGTAGACTGAAAGGAATGAAACAATGAAAGACTTTGCAAACTTGAACTTGCTATTATATAGATCGTGTAACATCCCTCCGACTTCGAACAAAAAAATTACAGGGTTCATAACTTTATCTTTAATTTTTCACTTATGTTACTCACCGTGAATAATTTTCTTTTTCTGTCCTTTATTTTTGTCAAATACCGTGGGAAAAATAACCGGACCGGAAGTGTAACGGACCGGAACTGGGAATGCGTGATACCGATGTATCGGCGATAACTGTTAGTCTTTGGAAATTTACAATTTTGATAGAGACAAATAACAGTGGCGGATACAGCTGCAGCTTTTGAGAGGAGAGGGGGGCGAACACTTTTGAGAAGGGGGAAGGGGTGTGTGGCTGCACACTTCATTTTCACCCGTTTTCTCGAGAGCTTCAATGGTCATTTACTAAACTTTCAGGACAAAACTTTCACCTGTCAAAGCGTTTCCTCACCGCACGTCTAAAATTACACACCCTATACAGTGTACAATGGAAGAA